CAGGAATAAAATTTGTGTCTCAGCCACAGAAAATAACTGTGCTGAAGAAAACCACACAAAATCCGATCTTTTGGCATCAGAAAAAGCTCAAAAAGCAAAGAAAAATTAAAATTCTAGCAATACTGCGCACACTTGACTGAAAGATAAAACTAAAGAAAGATAGTTCTGAATCAGCATTTTTTTGGTTATGAATTAGATTAATCTCATAATTAAATATATTTTTATTTTTTGTTTGAAGATAAATAGCTCAATTTGTTCAAGAGATGACGAAAATTAATTGTTAATTGAGACATTGTTTGGATGTTGGGGCAGATTTTTTCATTTTCAAGTGTGTCTGTCCACAAGTCAAATTGTTGTTGGAAAAACTTTGACAAGGCAATGATTTGGCACCCAAGAAGTAAATCTTCTCCTAATCCTTGGAAAATTTTGCAGCTTCTAAAGCCTGTGAACCAAACCTGAGTTTGGTTTCCAGGCACAAGCAGCAAGGACATATCTGAATAGAATTATCTTTCTTCTCTGATCTCTCATCCTTTGAAACATATTTTCCTGATTTCTAGCTCTTTCAGTTTTTGTGCACTTGCAATTGTGTTGCAAACTTGAGCAGATCTCTGAGCAGAGAAGAATTTGTGCGTGTCAAAACTTTGAACCGTGACCCTTTCTGAAATCTTGAAGGATCAAGATAAACTGTTGGCCATATATGATTTCTCATCAAAGATTCTCTCTAAATTGTTCATTCAACTGAACCTCATACAGAAACAAGCTGAAGACTTTGTGCTTTAAATTAATTTTTACTGATATTTTGTTTTCAATTTCAGGGAAGGTATGGCTGTATGCATACATGTCAGATGTCCAATTGTATTTTGTGGAATGTATTTTCTTTTATTTTTGTTATCCATTTGTGCTTTGTTTCCTGCTCTGAAATGATTAAATGTCTTTGAGTGGATTTGGGCTGGGTGGAAAGGGGGTTTGGATGTGGAAATCTTGATTGAACCTTGTGAACGCTGAAAAGCAACAAATAAAGTGTTCTGTTCATTCATTCATTCATTCATTGAACAGTGTATCACTTTGACCAAGTCTGTCTTCCTGAAAAATACAATCATCTTAAACTAGGACAAAAGTCATCCTGGCTGCAGCCCAGCTGCTTGAACGTGTTCAAATCATTCCACCAAATCCTGCAAATTTCCAAAAGCCAATCATCTAGCATATTTTGCAGTATTCTGAAAAGCTAACTTGGAAAAATTCACATTTATCTTCTTGTAATCTTCAAGTCTTTTATTCCTCTTTGCGAGTTCAGCTCACTTTTTATCACAATTGTCTCCAGGTTGGGGTCCCACTGTACAGTACAGCATATGCACACCAAAATGAGTCCCAAAATTAGCCATGCCTCTATTTCTTTCTTTCTTTCTTTCTTTCATCCTTTCTTTCTTTTTCTCTCTCTCTCTCTCTCTTTGCACACCTCTACTCCTCTCCACCCCCCACCAACCCATTTTTTATAATAAAAATTCTCAAGAAAGAAAAAACAGAATGCGAAGAAATGCACTTAGAAAAAAAATACGGATCAAAATGGTGATTTTCGGACACGACAGAAAAAGATCACTCACCCTAGAGATGATGATCCCGGCGATGGAAACACGGATTCTTGGGTCACGGAGTGCGCGGTACCTGAGATCCACTCCGTTCCAGAAGGACACCATGTACTTCTTCACCGTCCTGTTGTCTCCGTTATGCAATCTTTGAAAGAAGAAAAAATAATAATAATACTATAAAAATAAAGTAAACAAATAAATGAATTTGTTGGCAATGATAAACACAGCTCGTGAACCATAGGAATGAGGAAAGATTTTATCCCAGATTCCCGACGGGATGGGGGGATAAATCTGCATTATTGTGGGGAAAGTTCAATAACAAGGTTTCCGGGACGGAGAATTTTGACAACGCGTTTCGGAATGCTTTTGAAAAAAATAATTCCTTCAACACAAGCTTGGAATTTATCGGGAAACAAACATTTTTTTCCCACCATCTCTGACGCAGAATAAACACTTTCTTGTTGTTGGCTCGTGCATATGAAAGCACAGCTCAGCTTGTTATGAGAGCAGAAAATAGTCGTTTCATGAAAAAATTCAATTTTGAATGAATCCAAAAGTTACATGGAACGATTTTGAATATTGTGAGAAGTATTAACTGTAACATTCACAGAACAGAGCATCTTATATTGAGACAGATACACGCAAAAATGCAAGACAATGAAAACAAACAAAAGCCAGAAAAATTGCTCGAAGACACAATCTTTCAAAAAATATTCAAATAAATAGAATCAAAACAAATTTCCACCCACTCAACTGGCCCTTCAAGTTACAGAGAACCTTCAAATTAAAAAAGAATTATGAACATCTGTTGCAAAAATAAATGGCAAAGGTATAATTTGTCATGCTACATTAATGGATACAAGAAACTAAATTCTCCAAAAACTTGTCCTTGTACATCTTTGTGAGAACCAGGGAAAACTCCAGTTTGCACGCCTATTCTCAAACCTTTGAGATTTTACATCATTGCCAAAATTCAGGAAAACCTAAAACTGGTATTTCTCCTTGAAGGATACTTTTCCTGTTTTCACTCTCACTATTTTAAAATTCATTCCATCCTGAGCTCTTGTGGGTGATACTTGAAAGAAATTTGCATGATTTGGTGTGCACATTTTCCAAGTCCAAATTACAACAACTTTATAATAGGATGAATTTTCACCTTGGCTGTAGTCCAACCAAATCACTTTAATTTCATTCATTCATTTATTCTTTAAATTGTTTGTAACAACACATATTATTTTTGCATCCATGAATGCAAGAAACCAAAAACATATACAGTGAGACCCCCAGATGCGGACATAATTAGTGCATCAAAAGTGTACCTCAGTCAAAATGTCCCTAAGTTGAGTCTCATTTTCCCTTTGACTTACATTATATAATTTTTAATTGGTGTTTTATGGACAAAATACTCACCTTAATTCCATGACAATAAAAATTGTCTCCAAATTTCAACTGATTCCAATCAATGTATTTCAACACAAGACAGTATAAACATTTGGGGAACTGAATACTGATACCTCTGTACAGTGCATATACATCTTGACGTTCTCTATAAAAATATAATTCAAGTGAAAAAGAGAGAAAGAAGCCCCTCTATAATGGAGTTAATTTTTTAATTAGCTTAATGTTTGGTAAATTGGTGAGAGAAATTTCCAAGAACGTTCTTGCATCATTTACAGGGTTCGAAATATCTACTTGGTGTAATTTGGCCTGAAATGTATTTGCAATTTTATCACAAAATGTCCCAATGTTGAGTCAGTGTCCTCATGTTGGGCCTTATTTATTGATATTTTCTGGGGAAATAAGTGTCCCTATGTTGAAGTGTCCACAGGTCGAGGTGCCCGCATGTGGGGGTTTCACTGTACTTTATCCCCTCACTTATTGATGCATGAATAAGAAAGAACCCTCGCGATCCCTGCAGAAGAGCCATACAACAATGAATCGCAAGTTTTATCACATTTTTAATTTCTAAATACATTAAATAAATGTATAAAGATTAAACCCCGAAGTAGTTTTTGTTTTTGAGCGGTGCAACAAATGAAAATTTTGAATGTGTACAAATTGGTCCGATTTCGGTAATGCACTCGATTCCCATTAAAACGAATCTCGTTAATTCCCATGCATTTTTTTCAGTCCCCGTCCAATAGCCGCAATTTTATTTTAATTTCGCTCTAACGAGTTGTATAGTTTATAACGCAGCATTTTTAAGATCTCGAACACTTCGCTGTAACGAGGTTATTCTACCGTGCATTTTTAAAAAGAAACATTTGACACTTTTCAAAAACACAGTTCTTGGTTTTTCAATTATCAAAAAATTGCAGTTTGTGCTCATGGAATGATTTGAAAGTGCACCTGGATTGACATTGATTTTCCATTTTGAGGTAAACAAGGGATTTCGAGAACATTCATTAAATTTCTTCGGCATCACATTTGCGAAGCGTTTAAATCAAATTTATTAATATAATTAGGAGAATGGGATGAGATCAATGAATTTGTGAGAAAAATCTATTTTATTTCAAGGATATTGAAACTACATTCATCAGTCATGTTCATGCAATTTATTTTTACAGGATTCAATAGATGATTCTGCCAAGTGTTTTCGCTATGATAAAAATCGATCGGGAACAATTTATTTTTTACAGCATGCAGTATTCAAATTGATTATATGAGGGCCCATTGAAGAAGGAAAAGCATAAATTTCTCTAAATTCTGCAATCTTGATAGTTACAGCAAAGTTGGCTTTTCTTTTGATGTTCTTTGAGTGTTTGGGGAAAGCGATTGGCACTAAAAATTGAATTACTGTATATGGTACACAGCGGTGTTCCCCAAACTTTTTTCAGCCCACAGACCAGCAAATTCCCTAAAAAAAATGTCTGCAGACTGGCAAAGTTTCATAAGATTTCTGCAGACTCGCCAAAGTTTTTCCTGAAATACTTTATGGCAGGTATTTGAAAGCTGTTTTGGCTATTTTTGAAAAATTCAGTTAAGCACCAATGAAGCAGCTATATACCTGAATGTCATCAAAAATTAGAAGAGTAAACTTGAGGAAAGATTGTCCCAGAAAGAAAATCTGAAATGATTTATTTTACTAGGTGAAAATTTGTTTGAAGTGCTGTTGGGAGAAAAGCCAACTTTAAATTATCATTAGATAATTTTTCGACTGCCATTGTTTTTCCAACTCCTCGGACAATGATAACAGACTTCATTACTACTTTTGATACATTTATCAAGCTGACAAAATTTTACTGCAGACCAGCAAAAAAGGGTTGAGAAACTGCTAATTTGCATTATTTACTCGACTCAAATCGGGCGGGTCGCGATTCGAATCTGTTTGGTTTTTTCAGAAAGCATATTTCACGCATTCCACTCAACGAATAAAAGTTTAATTCTTTTTTCATCATTGTATTAAATGATCCCAGGTAAACACGAGGATGCCATACCCTGAAATGGTTTTCGTAGACCCAGCTCTGCCTTCACACGGACGGAACATGTTTGCTGTGATGCGTCACTTGATGGCTTCAGAAAACATGGAAACAGTTCGGTGAGCCATTTTGTTTGGCATCCATCACAATCCATTGCTTCATCGAGAATATGTACTGCAATTATTTTCACACTCGCGACCTTCAAATTTAAAGCTATTAACTTCGCAATACTGTACAGTGTTCCCTATGTATAGAGAAGGCCCAAGAAATGCGTGTCTTGGATTACGGTTTGAGTATAGAGAAATTCTTCTTCATCCTTGCTGCTCTGAAATTTATATAAAAATTGCAATGCGAAATGCTCCATTTATTTCAGAAAAACGTGCACCTTTTTTCTGAAAATTCAGAGGGGAAAAAATTGGGTAAATGTACTGTATTATGCAGGTAAAATTTTTTATTTGTAGGAATCCTAGGTGAATTTCATACTTGATTCCCAAGGAAACTTTTTCAACAAGGAATTTTTCAATAAAATCTTTGCAGCATTCCCTCGTCGAATGATGCCGAAGAAATGCATGTGTCCATTTGATTAAAGAATTTGATTCGAAAAATTTTTCAGCATCCTTCCTGCTTTGAAATGTATGCAAAAATTTCAATACAGAATGCTGTATTTATTACATGCTCAATAACCTGCTCCTTATTTTAAAATTCGGCGGAAAAAAAGGTGCGTGTGATGAGCAGGTGAAAGATGTTTTGGAATTTCACGCGCATTTCATACTTGATTCCTATATACGAAAACTTGTTGACCCATTTCAACAAAGATTTTTTTAAAGAAACGGACACAATTGACAATTAATTTAATTCATGTTCAATTCAAGTCAGACTTCATTTTTTATTATTATACAGTTCTTTTGAAATATTTCAATTTTTCAATCACTAAACATGTATTGGGTGCATATGTTTTACTTCGGGATACGTTTTTATTCAAATTTCGGGCAGGAAAATCCTAGTTCACATATTACTCATTTGATGGCATATAAGTGGCACTTGAGGGAATACAGTATAGCTACCATTAATTATCATATTGGGAAACTTCACTGATTTTGTATTTTTTAAATATCTGACAGAATGTATAAATCATAATAAACTTTACTGCCAAATATGAATTTTTGTCCACGTGTTCTTTTGACGACCCCGCAGCGAAATGTCAGTTTCAGAAATAATGCGTAGGACCTGTATATAAACCATCACTTGCCGTCATTCGAGGCGGATGCAATTTTTTATTATGCTCTACAATTCTTCATTGGTATCTGACAAATTTGCATTGACTATTCAGCTACAGAAGGAAACAAGAAAAATACCTGGATCACAGGGAATGCCCTCCACAACTGAAGTAGGCAAGTGAGAATTCAGCTGTTCTTGATCATTTAAACTTCACCTCAGTGCACTTCAGTAGTGGAGGGGATTCACTGTGATCCAGGTCTTTTTCTTGTTTCCTTCTGTAGCTGAGTAATCAATGGAAAATTTACCGTATTGGACACCAATGAAAGGATTGAAGAGCCAAAGAGAAAATTACATCCGCCTCCAATGAGGGCAATAAGTGGCAGTTTATCATATTTTACAAACCAGCCCTCGTATATATACAGACAGGTTGCTTGCTATTGTTTAATTATTTTTTCTTGCAATGAAAAGTGACCCCCAGGAGGAATGTGTGGTACCCCGGATGATCAGGAAGCGGGTTATTCTGAAGAATGGAAGAGCCAACACAATCCAGCTGAATGTTGAGAACCAACCATCCAAGTACATGGCGGACCTGTTCACAACTCTGGTGGAAGCTCAGTGGAGATGGACTCTGCTCAGTTTCTCCCTCTCATTCATTGTCAGCTGGCTCCTGTTTGCCTCCATCTGGTGGCTCATCGTATACAGGTGATTCCAAATAAAACAATAATATTGATTATCATGACAAATACCGTATTTACTCAAGTACCAGCATATGCACCTTTTTTCTCAAATTTCAGATGAAAGAAAGGGGTGCGTGTCATAAGCGGGTACAAATTTTTCAAGAAGTTTTAGGAAGTTCTGTGTGCATTATACTTGATTATAATGGAGAAATTTGGAAAAATGTAACGAGAAAACTTTTTTGTACTGAAAAAGTTGAAAATGATCAGATTTTTGTTCACTTTGTGTCTAAAGTTGATTTTTTGTTTTTATTTTCAAAATTTTGTGGTTTTAGATTCACTAAAAATTGGGATGCATGTCTTACTTGGAGATAAGATTTTAGCCAAATTTCCAACTGAAAACCCCCAGTGCGCGCCTTACTTGAGGGCGCATATGGTACTCAAGTGAATCCGGTAATAATGCAGTAAAATCTTGTTACAACAAACTTGTGCTTGTGGAATTCAGAAAAAGTTGTGTTATGTTGAATAATTTGTATTAATCCGATTTCAGCAAGATCTTCTTACAACAAACTTTGGGGACTTCAGAAAAAGTGTTTGACACTGAATATATTGTAAAACAAGATTTTCATTGTCAATTATTCAAACATTTTCACAGCAGACCACCCCATGATCAATTAGATCTTGATTTTCTGTCATTTGCCAATATTTCATTATTGGTTGTAAAACCATGGGGAATCTAAAGGAAAAAATTAGCTTCAATCATTCATTCCTTCAGCTGCACCCATCTGTCCATTTTGAGAGGATAAAAAAATGAAAGAGATCCAACAATAACAAAAACATTCTTTTAGGGGCAAAAACAATAGAGCCCCTTAAGGATGGTTCCTTTCCATCCCAAGACCTAGTCAAGATTTTTTGCACAAATGCGCATTTTGGTTTACCAAAAGTCACCCAATTCACCCTGGACTGAGAATTCAGGAGAGGAAAGCTTATTTCCAAAGAGGCTTTCAATTTAAATTCCATATAATGGTAAAGAAATGCAGATAAAATGCCACCCAGTGAGGAAATTTTTTGAGCTAAAAAAGTCTGAGGGTTCAGGAAAACTGGAAATTTTCTCAACTTTGCTGCTCAGCCCAGTTTTTTTTCTGCGCTGTTGCGAACACAATTCTGCAAAATATCCCAACTACGCCCAGAAGGGTTAATAAAGGACTGGAATAGATAAAGTTCAGTTTAGAAACATCCGAACAAATAACAAATTCCATCCTTTGAATAAATATGTTTTATACAGCTGTTTGATTTTCATTACACTAAAATTCTGATATGCAGAAAAAATATTTACAGGTGGACTCTCTTCACGACAATTGCATGTACAGATGGTACCTTGCAATTTGACCCTAACCCATTGCTGGACTGGGGTCAAATTGCAAAGCAGTTGAATTGCAAGACACTTTGTAAAATTGAGAGATATAAGCAAAAATTTCAAAAAAAAGTGGCCAAAGCGGGTCAAATTCTGGGGCAGAGGTCTGGTTTGCAGGTCAACCTCCCTGCAAATTTGACCATAAAATTGCAGGAGAGTCAAATTGTGGGAGTTCAAATTGTGAGGTACCACATGTACAGCAATTTTATATGCCTCATAAATTTGTTTGGTCCTACTATACAGGGTTTTATCCCCATATGTTATAGGGTTTCTCTACATTGAAATATCTCTGCAATGAATTTTCTTCAAGTCCCTCAAATATTTTGTAGTAGATATAGAGACCACCTGCTGTACCAATGAAGTCACTATTTTTCTTGATATTAAATTAAGAAAATTCTGTTTCTTTGGGGGTTCTTTATTTTTTTCCTTGTTTATGGCTTTATGAAAGAAAAACCTTGCATAATATGATGGACATTGCGGCTTTTTTTCTCTCTCTCTCTTTCTGATGATTTATCATGAACTCAGTCATGGCGACCTGGACCCCGATCATTTGCCGGATGCGCAAGCCGACAGCAACTGGACCCCGTGCGTGTGGAACATCAAGAGCTTCATGTCCTGCTTCCTGTTCAGTATTGAAGTGCAACACACCATCGGGTTCGGCGGTCGGATGACTTCCGAAGAGTGTCCGGAAGCTGTGTTCATCATGTGTGCCCAAAGCATCGTGGGTGTCATGATCCAGGCCTTCATGGTCGGCGTCATCTTCGCCAAACTCTCGCGGCCCGAGAAAAGAGCAAGGACTTTGCTGTTTAGCAAACGAGCTGTTATCTGCCAACGAGACGGATATTTGACCTTGCAGGTGAGAGGAGTGTATAAAGATAAGGCATTCTTTTTGCCGCTGCTATTATATAGGTGATGGTTCATATATAGACGAGGATACCATTATTGTATTATTAGGTACGTGAGCCCGTTTCTTAAAGTACAAAATGCCATCAGAAGGAAATGTGGATGAAATACCTGTGACCCAATATGTTCCCCGACCTTTTTGGGCCCTTGGACCAGCAAATATCCATAAATATTCTCGCAGAATGGAAAAGTTTTTTTGTTTTGTTTTTCCAGACCAGCAGATTCTTTTTTCAATAGGAACTGTACTTCATTGGTTTGTTTGTGCATCAAACATTAGGAATAAAATCCTCTAGAAATTGAAGAAGGGTTTTCAACTTCAATATAAAGAAAATAACAACATGGAAAATAAACCATCCTTCAATCTGAACTGGCATCCGAAAGAGCTCTAAGAAAAAGAAAAAAACAAGTCTGTCTACAGTTTATTAATGTGCACACATGAATGACAAAATTTAAACGAACACAAAATAGCCTGCTTTTGATTGTGAATTCAAGAAATTTTACAGCGGAATTTATTTCTATTTTCTTTTTTTTTTTTCAATAGGTCAGTTTGTTCAAGATTGGCTCTCAAGAGATATAAAAATGTAGAAACATTTTTTTTTCTGTTTCTAGAAATTTTGGAAAAGTGTCCATACCTTATGATGAGGTATCATGGATAGATATTTGGGCAGAAATTTTCAGTTTCTGGGGTCAATAAGGAAAATTGGGTACTTTCCTGTTATCTCAGTACCCATTTTTCTTTGTCTCGTGAATTCAGTATTTGTTAGGTTAGGTTAGGTCAGGTTATGTGAATTGAAAGATATTTGTAACTAAAATAACCTGACCTAACTTCACCTAACTGCCTCCCAAAATAAGTTTCTGCTTTCTTTGGGTTTCTGCTGAAACTGATTTTGGGAGGTGGTTAGGTAAAGTTAGGTTAGGTCAGGATATGTTAATTGAAAGATATTTTTAACTAACATAACCTGACCTAACATAACTTTACCTAACTGCCTCCCAAAATGAGTTTCAGCAGAATGCGGAAAAATGAAATTCACAGTTTCTGGTAGGTGCACGGAAAGTAGGTACTGAGATAACAGGAAAGTACCAAAAATTGTACATATGTTGGGGTACCTCACACTGTAGATTGAATTTAATCTGCATGTACTCCAATACTATACTCCAAATTATATGGGTCGACTCTTTCTGTATAACAAGACTCAAGGGACCAAAAAGAATTTCTTGCATATAGAGAGAAATTTGCTGTCTATATACAGAATCAGTATAACATTTGCAGAGAAACCAACCATGGGACCAAATAACATTTCTTTCTGAAGAGAAATTTGTTGCAGAAAAAATCATTGCTGAGAGAGTCCAACTGTAGTACACACTGTACATATTTAACACATCATACATCCAGTATTGTAGCAGATGTACCATATTATTCATTCTTCCAAATTGTGGGTTCTTCGTCAGCATGTATGTCAGATGTACCTTATTATACATCCGGAATCTGATGAAGCTGGCAAGTTTTTTTTCTGCGTTCCTATATTTATTTATGGCCATTCGTCGCCTATTATATAATCCAAGGTTCGGGTCGGAGATATGCGGAAGTCGCAAATAATCGAGACCCACGTGCGGGCTCTGGTCATCCGCAAGCGCGTCACGCCGGAAGGGGAAGAGTTGCCCTTTGAGCAGAAGGAGATTTCTTTCGGGATCGACGAGGGCGAGGACCGGGTTCTGTTCATCTGGCCCACAACCCTGAGCCACCGGATAGACGAGCAGAGCCCGTTTTACGACATGTCCGCGTCGGACTTGCTCAGGGCCAAGTTCGAGCTGGTCATCATCCTGGAGGGGATTGTTGAGTCGACGAGTTCCTCTATCCAGGCGAGGACTTCGTACTTGCCGCAGGAGATTTTCTGGGGACACCGGTGAGCTCAATCACCTTGATTCAATGCTATAAAAAGCATTCTACCTAACTAGCTATACAGTATGAATATGCAGCAGCAGAAGCTGACGATGCTGGAACTTTATCTTTTCGTCTGTTGCTATAGTTGGATTTTTTTAGATTTTTTTCCAAGACAATGAATGCATCCATAAACTATACATAGCACTCTGAGTTATCCATTCCTTTTATTGTGGCCTCTTTGAAAACAGTCAACAGTAACTTCAGACAGAAAAGGTAAGACTTTTACTTCACAATTGTGTACAGAGTAAATCTCATTATAGCAGTCCGGGACCTAAAAAAAAGTCTGTTTTACAGTACCAAATAATTTTTATACAGCATCAAGATTTACAAAAGTATAATGACTGGGAAAATTTTCAACATCAGACCTGTCTCTAATAATTTATAGACCTTCATTGCTCTTTGGACATTCTCACCCAAGTGAGGAGCTATTTTTGCTGTGACCCCACAGTAGGTGCACACCAGGGTCACAACTGGTGCATATAAGATATTCTGGGGTTACAAGCGCATGCACTCCTGTAGAGGAAATTTTGCTATCATTCCAGGGTTACACTTGGTTCACAAATGTGAAATAACAGGAGCATCACACAAATGCACCAACTGTAACCTTGGTGTAACTTATTTGTTTACAAATGTGACCCTGAGTAATCCTGGTGTGAACACAATTGGTGCGCATTGGGGATATGCATGTGCAACAGAAGAACTTCGGTACACTTCAGGTGCACAGCAGGGTCACTGTGTAGAATTACAAACAAATCCCCAGTGTGCACCAATTTCCCCACTTGGGGCAAATGTGTTGTTCTTGTTTGAAAACAGAGTGATCCTTTTTGCAAAAAAAAAGCTTTCAACACGCATCCCATCAGTTTCACCAACCTATTCCTTCCGGTTTGATGATGTGTGGAACCACCTGATACAAGCATGTTTGTCATTGCATACAGCTTCAATCCAGAATTTTCAGACTGTTCTGCCTGCCTTAGTCAGAGAATTCCTGCCTGGAGGATTGTCAGACATTCTAAAATTTGAATGTTTTGCTGTTCTGACTATATTATCTTTCCTACATTTTGAATAATTGTTGAAATAACAAAGAAATTTCAATTCTCGTATGTTCTGTTTTGTCAGCATGTGAGCCGTGAGGGCTGTGTGACATGCATGGAAAACTTGGGCCATACATGGAAAGTTTTCACTTATCATCATGCAATAAATTGAATTTCTTATCTGAAAAAATACCACAACCTTACAGCAACATATCATAAGCTATATGATTTTTTTACAGTGACGCCTATAATCTAGAATTGGGCAAGGTTGCACCCAAGTGGGACAACCCGTGTATAAGACCATTGAAGTCTACATCAGGAAGGGCAGAAAAATGAACCAATTTTTTAGAGCTAAGTAGCAAATCCTGAAGCAGAAATGAAAAAAACGTTTAAGCTTATTTGGTTTTCTTTCAAATGATGCATTGTATAACGGCATGGTCACAAAGGCCATTTGAATGAAAGCTTGAATAAAAAAATTCCCTCCGCCTGAATTTTGGGAATGTGTGCACCCTCTTATTGAAGGCATCATGAAGTTTGATATACTGTAGTTAAATTACTGGTCCTGTACATTGTTGCTTCTCCCTAAAAATAGCTCTGGAAAACAGCAACTTGAGGAGATTGTTCAACATCTTTTTTGGGTTTTCATTCAAATGGCTTTTGTGGCCATGCTGTGGCACATGAAAAAAGTTGTACAAGCTTTCATTTGGTGTTCTGTTTCATTGCTGTAGTTCAATTTTCTCCGGATTTTCTGCTAAGCTACTGCCTTTTAAAAATCAATCCACTTTCTTGTCCACCCTGTATACATGTACGCCTCACTTAAAATATATATACTGTATATATATACATTATTCATTCAAACAATTATCCCTCTTCCAGGTTCCCATCCCTTATTTCTTTTGATCGAATGGCCGGAACTTATTCCGTCGACTATTCCCGGTTTCACGAAACGATGTCTTTCGACACGCCGCTGTGCTCCATGAAGGATTTAGACTTTTTCAAAAGCAAGAACCGGATTGTGGCAAAAGCCGACACTCTGACAAACGATCCAAGCAAGCATCGATGACGTACATGCCCAAACTTGGAGGAGTAGAAGACGATCAGAACGTTGTCAAGTGAGTTCACAAGGGCTTCTTTGGGAACCGATGTCCAGGATAACTCGTCTCTGCATGCTGGCAAGGAATTCCACCTCGAACTTACGAATGTGATAATTCAAAGAGCTCATCAGGAATCTGAAAAAAATGTTTCAGCATTTTCGAATCACGGATCAGCCATTTCGCATTCGAGAACTTATTCCATTCATCGAAGAAGTATCAGCAGAATAGTACCCAATTTTCTCACAGATTTTGAAAAAAAAAGAGAAAGTCATGGTTGACGCGGAACGACTCTTGAAAGGGATTTGCAATCCCCTTGAAAACGTTCATTCTTCCGATACCTTTTTATTCTGAAAAAAAAAGACGTCCGAAAATCAGGTAATTCAGGCATGATTTAATTTGTTGCCTAAGGTGTATAAAACGGTGCTTCCGTGGGAACTGATGCAAAGGTGGAAAGCACATCGTCAGAAAGCCAATAAATTCAGCACAAGATCGACGATTTAGTGCGGATTCTGTCGTGGCATATTATTCGCCCACTGCGTTAGAAGATCTATACAGGAATCCCCAAAAAGGTTTTTTGACGTCGGGAAGTTTTGATGTACTTGATGTACTTAAGTTGTAATGTCCTTATGCTTGAGAAATGCATACGCGTATTTTTGCTTTTATGCAGGATGGAAACCTTTATTCTTGCTGACCAGTGTTGGTATTAGTGAGTCGACTGTTAAATTAATGCATAGCGTTCATGGTCCGCATGAGAAAATTTTTTTCACTAGGGGTATAACAATTTTTTTTAATGTACAGTAAATTGAAATGGCATAGATTGAGCTGGAAAACATTAATTTTTTATTAAGAGCCTTTGAAATATTTTATACAATTACATTTATTGTTAAATTACAACATCGTTTGGAAGATCATAACACACATTCTTTGGCACAAAAATGAAATCAGCTTTATTTGCCATATTCTTGGAAATTTTTTGCAGAAGTCTTCCTGGTAGCTTTCTGCTCTTCTTTCAAAAGAGCAGGCGCCCATCTTGCAGATTTTATGGTGTACCCCAGCTTTCACTTCAGAATTCTTGAAACTGAAATGGTATTAATTCAAACAGTTGCCTTCAGGTCCTCATTCAAGGTAATTCTGCCCCTTTAATCAACAGCCGCCTTCACGGCCGCCTGATTGGCATCCCAAGTGGCGGCTTTTGAGGATAAATACCTACAACTGAACCCTCGAGCATCACGAATACATTCCGGATTAACGTAGTACACAATGCTGGGATGTTGGTTTATTGATCGCCTTGAACGAGGTCCACATCAAAGCATCTCTCTTCACTGCCACGGCAAAAAAAAAAATGAGAGCACGGCACTTCACTCGCACAATTTAAAATTTGGTAAAAGATAAATACATATGAACAAATTCGATAACGTAAAAGAATAAGCTTAAAAAATATCACGAAAACGAAGCTCCGAAGAACTCAAAATACTTCTTAGCAGCTAGGAAAAAATGCGCTGAACGCGTTTCGAGCTTAATAATCAAACCGTGCAAAAAAATCCTAATGCAAATAACGAATGTGTACGTAAGGGAATTTAGCATGACGGATGCCATTCGAATGCTTGCAAGCTCGTCTGACGTTGGGATCGTGTTCGCTGAAGTCAACAAAACGCAAACCAATTTCAGGTTGACTTCACGGGTGCCCCTCGAACGCAAATGTACTGCCATCCGCCCTATAAACAAAATTCAATCAAATTTATTTTACCTCGAAATTCACAATAATCTGCTACATTAAATCTGATGTTCTTTCCAAGCAGATAAAAATGCCCATCACGTTATGTTATGCTTCAGTTCCACACTTCATGGGACAATGTCATCTCTCGCGAACAGTTAGAAGCAACAGGGCGCAAAATTTCCTCAGGAATCATCGCAGGGTTGAAGAAACATGTATAGTCGCAGAAGCAATAAAAAACTCCCGCAAAAAAAAAAAAAAAAAAAAAAAAAAAAAAAAAAAGAGTATTGAAGACCACTGCTATAGATTAATGTTACCAGAGCACGGATATCACGAAAGTCTCGCCGATTGATTTCTGACAACTTAGTGAGTATATACGCCAGTACTCCTTAGAACTCGTGAAAGTTAACCATCCACGAAAAAATCCACATCAGAATTTCCACACGCGAGAGAAAAAGTTTTAGGATGATGAGATACACTCAATTTCTCCAACGTTTTCCCATTACTGTTCAAGGCCTATTCTACAAAGCAGAGAGCGGTACTTGAATCTCTAATGACTCACCCCAATTCCGTAATCCCATCCAGAGCCTGCTAAAGAAGTGGTAGTTCTTCCACTTCTCTGACAAACCACGCCATTGTACGTGGATCCAGCAAGATTCGCCTTCTCAGCAATAGCCCAAATCTGGAAATGATTGAAGAAAAATACCACAAAAGTTGTCAGAAATCAATCGGCGAGACTTTCGTGATATCCGTGCTCTGGTAACATTAATCTATAGCAGTGGTCTTCAATCCATGGTCCGCGGACAATTTTCTTAAAACTACGAAATTCATCAAGAGTAGTACTGAAATTGTACCAAAATCTGAAATTCGGAAAGATAGTGGATCTCGGATATTACTTCTTTCAATGTGCTACTCCATGGTTCTCATCTTAGATATTCAACACATGCATTCCTACTTTCAAAAAATCACGTGTGCTGAAAAAAATGCACCATTCCATCCAACAATTTTGAAGACAAGAAGCAGTCTCAAGATATAAAGTAATGTTCAAATGACATTTCCCTTCATTTTTTGGTATAACAGACCGAAGTCAAGAAAAGAGCACGCAGACCTAATTTTGCAAGAAATACTCCTGATGCATGAGGCAGATCAAATTTAATTAATTTTTCTTGGACTTGAAAAATTACGTGAAATAGGAAACAATCTTCCGATTTCATTCACTTCAGCAATAAGAATTACTTGAAATTTAGAAGTATTGCATGATATCTTTAATGTGCGGGAGTCCGAAAAATTCAGAAAGATTTGTTTTATAATTTTGGTTGAAGAACCGCAGAAGGTAATCAAAAATGTCTGCCCCTCAGCAAAAAAAAATTCCTTGATAATTTGCAGGTCCGCGGAACCAAAGATATTCGGGAACACTGATACATAGGATGATCATAATGGTTATGTGCAATGGAAAGTCAGTATTATAAATGTGTTTCAGACCTTGGGTGAAAAAGCATGCAAATTTACATCGAAACTGGTGATCAAGTCAAGAGAGTTCAAATGTAATGCGCAGGAAAATATAAGCAAAAATTCAGTCCTCATTTTTAGAGAGGCATTCCTCTTGAACCCCAAAAAAAATTTGCATGTAATTCTAGCTATGATGACGAACAGAAGGACGAAAACCAAGAGCCAACGGTTGATATGACATTCTGACTACCAGTGACATCTACATACACTAAAAACATCGTCATCGATATTACCTTTAATATTCAACAAATCTGGATACAAATAACTTGATCGACAGTATTTCGATCTAACACGAATGAATATTTAATGTAATTAGATTAAGGTAACAATACCGTTCTGTACTTCGAAATTCGAACAATCGAACTACACGGGTTACAGTTGAATATTAATTTCTAATCGATACATCATTACTGTAGTTCTCTTCATTCTGTTCCCTTTATTTCTTTGGCAGCAAATTAAACCACTGATAACCGAACGAAGCTATTTAGAATCCGAGTTTTTGAATGGAGTATGCAAATGATACATTTTTCAAGCATCGATCGCTCAAAAAATAATACAAAATTTGAATACATTTCAACGAAGTAAATTCAGAATGTTCAACTAACCTCGTCTTTCGCATCGACTGACACTTGACGAATATTGTCACACACGTATTCCCAAGAAACTCCTTCGGGGAACATTGTAGGCATAACGTCTTTGCGACGGTAGAGCCGGTGTGCTTCGTCGACAACCCAAACTTCGCTACTTCCAGCACTTATCTGTACAAGCTTCGTTTCACTCGGGCATTCCAAATGAAGCCACAGTTCCCCTGAAAAAAAAATAGACCACATCAATTCGTTACTTTTTTGCTCTGGAACACATCAACCTCAGATTCTAAAGCTGGAATGTCTCAAAATTGATCATCAATTCAAACGTCTTCAAATAAATTAATCAACGCTGCATTAAATCCATTCATTTACCTTCGGGACAGGACTGCGTAATGCCGTGTCGAAGGTAGACCGAACCATTTTTCGCAACAGCCCATACTTTTCCGTATCTTCCAAAACTTATGCTTACAACGGGCTCATCACAGGGAACATGTTTCCAGCCGTTGCCCTAAAAATAGTTCCATAATTGAGTCAATTGATATATCAGTAGAAATCAATCACCAAAAAAGCCACGCAATCACCAAATCCTCTCCAAAGCTCTGGAGAACTGGTTCTCTTACAGTACGAAACGAGACAGTTTCATGTTAATAATCACAGAAAAATACAGCTCGTAACAAAATCCATCAAAGTTATATAATTGAGGAAATAAGTGCAAGAGATCCACTATGGAATTAAATAACATGGTATAGTTTTTGCGTCATAAGGGGTTAGAGGACTTCGTCTTCAAGAATAACACAGAAGATGTCGTCATGGGTTCGCTTTTAATTGACGGCTTTGGAGCTTTGTTCAGCTTTCCTTTAACACAGTGGGGAAAAGAAAGACTGAACCTGCTCCAGGTGACGAAGTCTTTGCCAAAAATGTTTTGTTGTCGGAGTAGATCGCATTCCGAGTTCATTTAAAGGATGTTCAATTGCCTTCACTGGAGCATCTGTCTTTCCCTAGGACTAATCGTAAAGCATAAAATGTATCCCTAAAGAGGGATTGAGAAAAAATTAGGAAAATTGTCAATTAGCACCGGGTCATTGCCACCCCACAAAAAGTTCTGCATTTTTCATTCATTAAAAAAATTATAACAAATTTTGTTTTTTCACCAAATATGAGAAACACATTCCACGCAAATAAGGCAATAAAAAATTTCAATTTTAAAACTCTTATGACAAATTTTCAGCATGCTGTGAAATGAGTGGAAGAATCCGGCTTCAAGCAGAAATTTTTTTTTCCTTTTCGTTAGGCGGTCTCTCGAAAAAAATGTCTCGATAATTAAAAAAAAACGCATGTTTAGCCCTCATGAGGAAATTTTCGCAATTTTTTTTTACATTTCTAACAATGCCAGTATTTCCGCGGGTGCGCGGGAGTGGGACAACCCTTCTACATGTTCATCTGTACCTGAACGTATGATAAGCGACTTTCGGATTCCAAAACGTCGAGGTGACGCCAACATGAAAAATCATAATTGTATCAAACAGACCAAACCTACAAAACAAACCGTAACTTCATGAAAAATTAAAAAATATTTACAAAATAATCTTGCATGATAAACTCGGTGAATGAGAAGACGAACAGAAAATAATCTCACTTTTTAAAGAATGAAATACTGTATTTCTCACATTAATACATGTGAACTCCGTCCACAAGGATCTTGTCAACAACGATTTCCTGTATAAGGAATTTTTTATGGTCCCACAGGTTTATTTTCCCATGTTATAAGGGTCTTACAAAACAAAAATCTCTTCACAAAAACATTTTTTTTTGGTCCTCTGAATTAATTGGTAGAGAGTCCACATTTTACAGTAAAACAAGAGCAACTTTTATGAATGCTATTGTAGCGAATAAATTTCCAAAACTTGGATCGCACAAAACCAAACCATACACAACGCCGTAAAGAAAAGGAAAAAATAACCACTTACCAATGGCTGTTCAGGAGACACTTCTTCACGCATCAGGATATCACCATTCGCAGCTACCGCCCACACGCCTACGAAACCCTCAGGCTGTGGATCCAACTGTAGGGTAATGTCAACTAAGCGGGTGGAACCGACGTACAACCACGGTCCTGTCGTGGAATTCTTGCACTTCCGGAACCAACGACGACGACGAACGTAATCAGTGAATCCCTTCGTAGGGTGGTAACTTGACGGGAAATCCAGTGCGTACTGCCACCCATTACCATCTACTCCGCCGGGTGTCGTGAAATCAATTTGCCATTCCCCTGTCTGCAGTATATAAAAATTTCACGCCTTGATTCGAAATTGCAAATAAAACAAGCAGTGCAGTACAGCATATTCTCCAAATACATGAGAAGGAAAAGAAATACAGTACGTCCCTCGCGATTACAAGGACGATGTCGGCTCCTCGAACAGGATCAAAAACTCGCACATTTTCAACCTTTAGACGGCATCGATGTCAATATTATTTTTAAATACAGTACAGTACTTCAATCGTTCAATGCAAACCTATTTCTAGCTTTTACCGATTTTTAAGTCATGCGTGAATCCAAGTATCACCAGCTAGATGCAATAAAGAACCAAATACTAACTACGAAAGGCCTTTCCCAACTTCATGGCTTTAAATTTAGTACATCTAAAAATACATCCCATTCTTTAATTCTGTAAATTCAATGCCACTTCGAAAATCAACCACGAAGGCTCCGTTTTCGCATGAATTATGCCACAATTCCACACCCAGTTGGTTAAAACGAAGTACGAGGGGTCTAAATGCGGCGGCTGATGATGAAAACGGCGGAATTACCTTGAAGGACCTGGAGACAACCCTTGGAATCAGTGCCATGTCAATTTCAAGAATTCTGAGGGGAAAGCTGGCGTAAACAACAAATCTGCGACATGGGCGGCTCATCTTTCGAGTAAAGAGCAGAATGTCAGGGTGACTTTTGCAGCAAAATGCAAAAAATACGTAAAACAGGGCTGAATTTATTTTTATTAGTTGCGCCGAAGGATGTTTCCTACGAAAATTGCTTTTCAACTCATTCGGACGCCGTTTCAATTTATTTTTCGAGAAATTTTGTTAGTCCCCTCGTACGTAGACGAGACAGACATAGAAAATGGTTTACCGAAATTATATTCGCGTTGTAGAATTTCAATTTTTTCAATGCTCGTTCTCGGATGAAGAATATAGTACAGCAGCATGAAATACCGGTAACTCACCCACTGCCACTTTCCTGAAGGGGGCTTCATAGAACTTTTGCTAACAGCGATCCTTCCAGAGTAATCAGACCACTGTGGACGATCCGTGGGCAACAGCGTCGAGTTGTATCCAGTCACAGGATTCCAACGTTGGTTCTCATAAACGTAAAAACACCTCGTGTCACTCTGCGGCTTCGTCTTCTCGCTATACAAACCTTGAAACGAAATATGAAAATAGAGGCTAAGAATAATATCCCCTTTTAAATCTTCTCTAAACGAATTAAAATTAGCGAAGTAAATGTTTGTTGCAATGCCTCGAGCAATCCTCCAATCGAATGCACAGTACAGTAAAATGCAAAATAAAATAAATTAGCAACTTACTTTCCCAAGGACCACCGCCGAACCCTCCCGAGTAAACCCAAGCACCGTAATCCCAACCAATGCCCCAGGCAATACCGGCTGGACAGCATTCAACTTTCAGCAAACTGCCACCCATTTGACGCCAGCGCATGTCAACTAACTTCTTGCGATCAGACTGCAGCGAATTCGCTGCGGCCTGAGACTCATGGATAAAGATGTCGCCTCTGGTGGTTGTTGACCAAAGAGCATCCGGACTGGCCGGGCCTGACAAGTTCTGCACTTGCCAATGAGCTGAATGACAGAAAAAAGGCGCGTTAATAGTCATTCAATACATTTTCTTCGATTTTTGAATTTATGGGAGCATTGGACAGACTAAGCCACCAACTCGTAATTGTACAGTATCCATCTAAAATATTCTTTCGGTCAGGTCCGGAGAGATGAGGCATCACCGGTGCACGTGCACTCTTGACGAATTTGTTTTGGAAGCATACATGTCACAAGAGAAGTACGGTATTGCGATAAATATTGTATTTGAGAATAAAAATGGCGTACATAGCAAAAAATAAAAAAAAATTTTAAAGAAGTTTCTCTAGAAAGAGTTCTCAAGACACTAACCTTCAGAGGAAATGATTAGAAGGAAACACACGGACAATGTAATGCATTCTGCTCATTTTTTGGTTTGTGTGTGTGTAATCACAATCTGAAGGCAAAACTTAAAATCTTCGAAGGAAAAAATTAGAAAATTGTAATGAATGACCAAAATTGAAATATACGCGAATATGGTTCACTGTCTTCGCCACAAAAGCGCGAGAAAATTAAAACTGAACGCGTTCAATGCCTAGCACGTTGCCGGATTGTCAGATAGATCAATAATTTTTCAGACTCACAGTAATGTAAAATTATTTTCAAGATCCGAGAAGCTCAAATGGCGGGAGAATGACTCACCGATGCCAATGTTCGAAATCCAGTCTTCCAGCACAGTTTCGCTTTCAAATCCAATTTTCAACGGCTTCTTCTTCCATGTTCGCATTGTTGTGTGAATGCATAAGGCAGGCTTAGCCGGGTTGTACATATGGAGAACACATGTGATGTCCGTGAGAGCAACACGAATCTGGTGAAGATATAAATTACAAGGATCAGCACAAAATGAGGGAATTACTGACGCATTTTTCGTGCCGCCTCATGCTAAAATCTCTCTTTTTCCAGATGAACAATCAAAAAAAGACACCAAGGGCAGTCATAATGTTCATTTATAAATTTGTGTCATTCAGCTCTCACGGAATAAGTGTCACAAGGAATGATGGAACAGGAAAACGTTCATTGAATTTCGAATATTCAACGGGAAAATAAATAGCTTCAAACAGCGGTTCGACGCTGTCCTTCATTCACTGGAGGATCCGGATCAAAGACAACATCCGGCTCTCCCTGATTCGATTTCAACAACTTCGGGGCCGAAAGCATTATTGCTGCTGCACCCAACGGCGCAGTCAACAAAATGGAAAGCACGGCCACTGTTAAAATTTCAGATCCGTGATGAATCGTCTCAGGAGACAAGTTGTGATATTTTCCGTGATCTAGAACAACCGGTGCGAGGGCAGCTTGAACAGTGGCCTTTGGCAACCAGGCAATCGCTATAAACGCTCGCTCTCTAGTGTTCAAACCGACTCCTTTCACCACCAAGAATGTCGTGAAGAATCGACACACTAAACCGCAGGCGATCACGGCAAGCCCCGTGTTGATCGTACCCCAATCCATCTGCTTCATGTCCACCTCAGTACCGATGAGCCCGAACAAGAGCGGTTGGAACACATACCAAACTTCAGAGAAAAACTTGGAAACGGGGTCGTGGCCGAGCTTGATCCAGTCCTCCTTCCAACCACATCCCGCGACAAACGCACAAACCAATGCTGCGAAAGTACCGAAGCCTTCGGCTCCAATCACTGGTCCACCAAATAACGCTGCACATCCCGCTAACACCAACAACAAGCATCGAAGCATCACCACACACGAAGAATCTTTCGCCGGAATGAACCACAGCACAACACCGAAAATCACGCCCCAAACAGCGCCAACGAGCGCTTCACAAGGACCTTGAACAACCTGCCTGAGGAGTCCACCTTCCGAGTACGTAATCCCGTACAAAACCCCGAAGGCACTGATTACTAGAACATCTTCCACTGACGAACTCGCGATCACTAGCGTCGGTATGCCTTCATCCACACCGAGACCACGTTCTTGTACACTGAGCATACACGGGAGCACAACGGCCGGCGTCACCGCAGCGATTACAAAGCCGAGCATGAAAGAGTAACCCCAGGGAAGATTCATGAAAAATCTGGACGTGACAGCTATCACAATGGCCTCCACAGCGCATGGAATGGATACCAGACGAAGCACAACCAAACTCAGGCGCTTCAAAGCATCTGCGTCAAGTCCCAATCCTGCACGCGTCAGAAGAACCAGGAGAGCTGTTAAACGGAGTTTTGAGCTCAGCACCGGATCCAACTCTTGCGCAGTCGTGACGCCGGGAAGATTCTTAAGCATGATGCCAACCAAAAGCATCCCGAGGAGTCCAGGCAGATTCAGAAGTTCGACGAGAGAGCCACCGACGAGGCAGAATTTGAAGAGCGCGAACAAGGCGAAACCTGGGCCACCGGGAAGCATATATTTGCTGGAATACGTGATTGCATGCAGTCCACACCACAGCAGCCCAATGACGAGTATGGCTGTGAAAACTTCCGCTGTTCGGTGAGCAGGCGGGCAACACATTTTCCTGAATTTTTTCTTCAGGTATTCTGAGTGATTGCCTCCTTTCCTCGCGCCATCATCGTCGTCAGCGTCTTTGGGTGACTGTAAAGCCTTCGGCCACACTTCCATTTTCCGCATCAAAATTTCTCAATTGTTCTAACAACCGCGAGTGAGAGAAAGCCAAGTGTTCAACTCAAAACCGCGAGGTTTGAAAATTAAGCGAAATAAGGATTCTTTCATAACATTCCACAAAAAGACTGAATACATCGACGAATGCTGATCATCGCTCAATTCTAAAACTCCTGAACGATCGCAACCTTGATATTATACAACTCCATGTCAAAAATTAAGTTTCAGGAGTTTGCTCATGTTACGAAAAGTTAAACCGAAAAAGGCAGTTTTCAATGCTAAAAACCGAGAACGATGGAAAACCACATGAAATCCTTGAGTCGGAAAATACGGAGATCCTTGCCAATTTTCTACATTCCTAAACATTGCGAACAAGGGAAGCTCAAGACACAATTTAATTTTAAAACGAAAAGGTTTCAAGACGAAACTCCTCAGCATCTTTTTTTTTAATCTCAGCGGAAAACTACACTAACTATCGCTCATCGCTGTTTCTATTAAGCCAAAAACAGAAAACATGGAAAACCTCATCATTCAACTCGTAATCGAACGGAGATTCTATTACTGAGAAGCTCAATTCACAAAATTTCACAGGAAGAAACTACACCCACTTCATACAATGCTTAGCTTGCATGAATCGTGTGACCGAAGTGGCGTCAGATCATGCGTAGATGACATTCGGCTCCAAGCTGCTGACTTAACTTATACCGAAGTCTCAGTGTCACCTTATCGGCATTCGGATGCCTAAAGTTTTGGACAGGCCATTGCCATAGGTGAAGAATACACGAAATATACGAGGGAGATATTTTTTTTTTTCATACAAAAGGTCATCACAAGGAGCTTATGAATATTCAAGAAGTCGAATCAATGAATGTATCCCTGGGATTTTCGACGCGTGTTTCAGAAATCATTCTGTTGAAACTGACTCAAACGGACAATTGGAAACTGTTCCACGAGTATCTCGTCTCACTGCATCGTCGGTATCAAATTAAATATCATACATACCGCTTTTTCGTTGCTGGGGTACACTGTGAGTAAGCCGCCATCGATCAGGCGTTGTGAGCTTCCAGAAGTTTCGAGTTCAATCGACGCTCGGAGCCATGTTGATGGTTCTCTCAGGCAAAATCCCTTCGTGGTTTTCACCCACGATTTTCTACCAAAATTAAGGCACATTATGCAATTACGAGTTCGAATGAGCAGCTTCGTTGATTCATTAAAACGTACCTATCGACAGCTTCATTGAAATGCTTGAAGTCTCGTGTTTCTCGCTCACGTCGCCTCTCAAGATTTTCTACGATTTCTGCTTTCCACGGCTCGTCGGATTCATTGCTCGCGTTTCTCTGCAGATTGCTGAACCTGGATAAATTAATCATCAGCATGAGCATATCTTTCGCACGTTTTTTTCCAAATGACCGGATCAAGACAAGGTTCAGTAAAAAGTTCGCGATCGCTTTCCAAGCTCTTCAACGAGGCTACAGGAAAATTATCAACCTTGATTTTTCAAGGTAACCAAAACTTCACTTTTTTTTAAATGCTTCTCCCACTATTATAAATTAATGGTTCAGGCGTTAGCATGAACATTTTTCACGGTCACATGAATTGCGTTCGTAACTTCTTTCTAAGCCCTAGTACTTTTGTTGAAACATACCATGGTGGAAGATTGTGGGGATCGATTCGACAATCCCCGGCAGAAATACTAGTCAGCACCAAGCGACCTTCGAGTTCAGGCACTCCCATTTCGTAGGAGTCGAAGTGAAAATCATCGCCCATCGGAAGCAAGCTGTTCTTTGACGTGGACATGATGGACGAAGCTTCGAGAGATAATGAGCTCATTTGCGGTTCCAGTGGATCCAACGAAGCTCCTGCTCTTGACTGAGATGCATCACCGTCTCCTTCATCTATACACGAAATCCAGTACCATACAATACATTGAATACAGCAGGATCCTCAACTGTTACACGTGATTTCGATGAAATATATCTCGTTTTCCCCCTCAGGCAAAATAGGGGGAACAGCAAAAATTGGGGCCCTCGCTATCCTACTGACATATTGCAGTATCAAGAAAAAAAAGCCGCAAGATTATTCGTTTGTCATACAAATTCCTGAAAGCAACGGAAGCAGAAATTTAAAAATTTAAAACCACTGACGAGAAACTGCGACGAGTAACGATACAATATTGTATAAAATGCTTTTTGATCAGAAAAATATGGCCACAGTACACCTCAGAAATCTTCGGGGAATTCTCCATAATGGAAGACTGCACAGTACTTTAATGCACTTCATGTGTTGATTGATCACCAAGAACTTATGAAGAAATACCTTTCCTGTGCATTAATCGAGGTACAGTAGTTCTCTCCATTAATTCGAATAGAACATTTACAGTTATCAGAGAGTAAGGTTACTTGCAAACATAAAAATTTATATTTTAAATCGACGTTATTCGTCAAGTTCAAAGAAACTTTCAGGCAGCCAATCATCATAACAGTATTATCGAGAACTTTGAAAATCGACAGATTTTCCTGTTACTCACCATTTGCTTCAGCTTCCGCGTGACCCACAAAATCAATAACGACATTGTTTACAGGCTTCGCACTCAAATCAACACCGTCTACACTGCTTTTATCACTTTCATTCGCTGACAGAAACGATTCGGAACTCGATTCCTGACGGATTACTGACGTGAGTCCAGAATCTTTCACATCTTCCGTTTTCTCCTCCATTGACGATGCTGACATCAACTTTGTCACGGTTTCTCGGACCTTTCAACAAAAATAAATATTATTCCACTGGTGCCTCATACGAAGAACTTAATCCTTTTTGCAAAAAAAAATTGGTTCAGTGTAGGACGTGTTCCTTGTATGGGGTGATTTTCATTCAAGAATACTGTGCTGTATAGAAATAACAATTAATGCGTTTCAAGAGGAGAATTAATGAGAAAAAATTCACGGAATATATTAAGGAATTTATGATAAATACGGGACACCCATTCCTTCATGAACCCATACCAAAACTATCAAAAACACTGCTTCCAGCCCCATTTTTGAGTCGCCATAACCCGAAAGTCACAAATATACTAAAAAAAATCGTGAGCGGCTATGTTCCAAATTACTAAAATTTCCTTCGAGTAGAGAGCCGCACAGACTCAAAAAAAAATTGGATGCATTTTTCGGGAAGACGAAAATTAAAACGTAATTCGAATGTTTTTTTTTTTAAGGGGGAAAACACAATTCTTCAATAAAAAGTTCTTTGTATGCATTAATAATTTCCTCGAACCTGATAGTCCGGCGAAAGAAATGTTATATGGACACAATCCAGGCAAATCAATCGCCCGTGGTACAGTCATCTTAGCAGAAGTTCATCAAACCATTGCAATGAATAAACTAACACGGGGTAAAGTTATTTAAAGGCCCCACATGAAAATTATTTGTACATCCAAGTAAGTTAACGCAATTCGAGGTTTTTTATCCTCGATTGAAAAAATCGAGCAACTCTTCCCATGCGATTTGGAATTTACCTTTTCGGTGCAGATGACATTAGCGGAATCGAGCGACCGGGAAAACGTTGTCGGACTGCGTCTCAACGTTGAAGGACTGCTTTCAGTGCTGTAAGTCTGCCGCATTGATGACAGAGATGGCACATGCCCACGAGAACTGATGGAGGTCGTAAGACTAGAGGTGCTTTCCGTTCGGCTCCGGTTTCTGATCAGCGCTTGAATCTGTAAAACGACAATCAATTTTAAAATAAGGGGGCAAATCCCGGGATTACCACTGCACGAAGCGCCAGTTCCTACTTTTACAAGTGCGTTCGAAACTAAATCCTTGACTAGCCCGGAAGAACAAACACGACAACACTTTTTGAAACAATCCTTCCGGAACTTTTGAAGCGAAGTTAGAAAAAAGAAGACGCGAAGATAGAAGAAGCCAAATTTAGAAACGGAGCTAGACTCCCACCGAAAGATTAGAAAGTTCGAATTTGCCTGAGCCAAGATTGCTGCGGTTGGAGCAAAGTAATTTTTTTTTTCAGTCTAGCTGAATGAAGTGCAGTGGATCTAATCGCGTAAAATTTGCAGAAGTGAGCACAGAAACCTAAAAGAAATAATTGAATAACTGAAACTTTGCTAACCTCAGACCATGCTTTCCCACTCGTATCAGAACCAGCAATACCAGTTCGAAGGAAAAGTCGCCGATCCTCCGGTGGCCCCAGTCCGAACGCTTGATTATTAGCACCAATGGAAACCATGGCCAAATTTCCCACCATTTCCAGCCAACCTGTTCCGACTGCGGCTTCGTTTCTCTCGCCTGCTTGCAAGCCTGTTGACGGAGTCATCAGCAAATCAGAACCCACGACGATACGAACATTTTTGCAGCAACAATAAAAAATTTTCTGCGACAAATTAAATCTCGTTCGCACGATCACTTCCGATAAAATTTGGATACGTATCGCAATTTGACAATACAAACTCATTCAAATACGAAAATCCAAAACTAATATCACTCACCATTTATGCCACGCCTGAACCAAACTTGCTTTTGCCGATCAACTGCCCAGACGCAATCGAATCCAACAGATACGCACTCCAACTTCACGCCTCCTTCAGGTGGCTCCACAATTTCCCAGGATTTGCCTTTTCAAAACATGACATTTTCGAAAACAGACGAATATGATAATAATACAATATTTATGTACCCATGCGACAGTTTCGGTTGATCCCGGTGCGCACAATTGCTCTCCCTTCGTCCCAACAAACCGCCCAGGTTAGACCAGTGGGTCCAACGGATATTTGACAAGCTTCCAGATTGGTTGGAGAAGGAACATGAATCCATGAGGAACCTTCTGGATTTGTTTCTAGCACGTTTTTCCGGAACATAACCTGAAGTATAAATGGCATCTTTTCAATATGCTGCGCAGAAGAATTCTTGACGATATCCAGGCAAGTCATCATCCACGAAGTTTTTAGGTGAAATAGTGAAAAGTTTCACAAAATATCTCATTCAAAAACATGAATGATCGACGGAAAAGTGACGGCTTTCTCTAAACGCCAGCAAGTCACCAACAAATTATAATTGCAGACAAAGGAAACCACACGGTCAATTTCTGCCAAAATTTTTCAATCATCTATAAAACACATCTCAATATGAACGATAAATTTGGAAATTTACTTGAAAATCACCCATGAGGAATATCACAAAGAACTTTACAGATGTATCTTCAGATGGACATTTTAGGCATACAGATGTTCGAAAACAGTATTGATTCCTCCCATAGGGTCAGAGCTACCATCTAAGAAGAGTATTGCAAAACTGAAGTTGATACAATTCAATTTCCTATGATTCCAATTTCTTGGTTTCCACTGCATAGCCATGGCCAACTCAATTAAAACGAAAACCATGGAAAAAATATTTTCTGCTTAGTGATCACGATTAGTGTACAGGTATTTCATTTTGTCCGCCTTCAGGATTCTAGGACTCAATATTCGAAAGTGATAGAAGCGTCATAGCTGAAGATATGACGCTTCTTTCAATTTCGAACGAGTAAACAAATCTCCAACTCAAATTCATTAAAACTCATGAAAATTCTTCATCTAAAGCCAAACTTGAAAATTCGTTTCCGCCACGGGAAAACAAAAACAGAGCGCAAGCCTGTTCCGAAAAATGTAAGTTAACTTCATTTTTTTGTCTTTTCTAAAAAATAGTGTCATCCGGGTACATTTTCAAACAAAACGAGCAATTCTGCTCAGGATGATCTTATAATCCCAAAAATTTTCAAACTCACCCTTCCACGAACAGTTACACCCCAGACAGAAATTTCATCTGCATTCCCAGCAGGCATATCCGAACCTCCAATCGCAATATCGATGAATGGCTCTTCTGTAGGATCCTTAGAAACATTTTCAATAAGGGCCCAACTGTCCACAGCAACGTATCTCCGGTATCGATACCACTTCCTTCTTCTGACCATGGAGTTCCAAGTTTTCTTTGGACCATATGACCGAGGGAAGTCTACGGCGTACGTCCAGCTCTGCAACATCGATGATAAAATCTGACCAAATGCGAAAGAGATTTTCGGATCTGGAAATCCAAAACAAAACACGGAGGTGGAAAATCAAGTTCATTACATCGCCAGCTTTGCAGCTAAACTTCTAGAGGACGCTTGCGAGAAATAACCTTAGAAAAGTGAGAAGAGAAGCTTTTTCTTACCCCACTATCCAGGACCGTGCCTCGCAGATTGTCCTCGATTTCCCAGTTGCCTTCCCATTCCCAAGCCAAAGATGGCAGTCGAACTTCATCCTTTTTCCGCTGTATCGTTCCATCACTGTTGGAAAATGCGCAGCGGTCCGTGGGAAGTAAATTGCCGCTGAATCCTTCGACTGGATTCCATCGCTAAGGAACAAGAAAAACGCGGATCTAAGTATCAGACTTCATGCGATCCATGTTTCATCGAGTGGGGAAACAAATGTACTGTATTGGGTATTGTGTTAGCTGACCTACTGCGTCATTGGAAAATGGAATACATTCCGGAGAAAAAAATTTTTAATCTCATTTTCCCGCTGAGATCCTCCTGACTGATGCGGCATTCCTTCTTCTGGGGTCGATTAATTTATCAACTATGGCTTTCCAGTAACATTAAACATCACCAAAACCTTCTTAATCAGTTGCGGGAAATCTAAATTCAGTGTCCTTTCCAGAACTGTTGAAGCTGCAAAAAATGTGGAGGCAAATCTCAAATGACATGCAAGCACAGTCTTCAAGACAACACGTCAGCAAAACAGCTTTCTTGCGCTTTTCTGGCCTTCGGAAATAAGTAGAAAACTACACAAAACTAGTTTAAAATAATAGAAAAATAGTATTAACAATTCGGGTTAGAAAGCTATTCGTAGAGGTAGAGTGGTAACCCCGCGGAAGAGATGAGAATATAAATCAAAGAATTTCCTCAACACCTGATTCAAGCCAAAAATAAAATCAACACGATCAGCAACAATTCAGACTGATAGATATCGCGGATATCCACTTATGAGGTTGAAAATAGCAACGTAGCCAAACAATTAACTAAATCCAGCTCTAATGAAGTATTCTGGCTAACTACGCTAACATTGGAAAACCACCTCGTAGAACTTGAATGACGCAAGTGTAAAATGTAAAATAATTTGTGTAACGATTGCAATGGTTTTAACTTTTAGTTCACATCGCAAAAATGTATCTCATCACAAATTGGCCCTCAGAACCGCCCAGATGGCCTCGAACCCCGAAATTTTCGACTTAGCTAATGCTTTGCAACACCTTCTACAAAAATTAGAAAGATATTGCACCTGATTTTCGTAGGAATCCTCCTTGACGCGAATATAAGCGTCACGATGATTCACATACAAATAAACTTGATGGTCGCCGCCGATTGCCCACACAAATCCCGCGTGTGCGGAAAGTCGCTTAAAATCGACACCAAGGTACGGAAGCTCCTTCCATTCACTTTCCGACGTGGACAACCTCACGAGTCTGCCCGTCGTATCCACGCCGTAAAGGTACGAACACATTTTTCAAACCTAAAAGAATACATTCGTCTGAAAGGAAAAAAAGTCGGAAAATACACTGAACAGTTTTAACAACAATGTTTTTAAAAAAAACCAAAACGTGACCAGGAAATGTTTCTCCTGGCATTGAATTGAAAAATTGTTCGCGCATTTCGAGTGTTGCCGAAGAAGGAAGTATTCACTGAAACGCACAGGGATTGCATAAGGAAGCTGAAAATTGAACGCGAAATACAACTGAAGAGAACACTTCCTATTTCAATGTGTCTATGAAGATTCACTTCGTACGCAAGGGTTTTTTGCACGCATGTACAAATTTCTGCTTATGAACAAGGTGTAGGATTCATAAGCTCGTCTCATGCAGAAAATATAAAGCACATCGATTTACAATCCGAAAACGCGATGTGACAGAAGAACAGGCAGTTCTCCATGAATAATATAAATTATTTTGATATAGTAATTGTGAATTGGAATGTTCCCCACCATATTCTGTATAGTATATCCAAAAAGAAATAAAAAATTATCTCGGATTTCGGAAGTACCCAACGACCTCACAGTTCACGGACTGAAAACCAGATTAAACTAGGACAAATGCGGGCACTAAGTGTCACGTAAAAATAAAAATTGTCATTCGATCAATGCATGCGAAAATAAGTAGCACGCCTACGCGTCGATTCGTTGAAATATTTTTCAAGAGCCCCCATTCAATTAAATTATCAAGCTGAAACTTAAAAATAAACATAACTTCAATCCAATCTCGTTCGAAAATGTCAAATCCAACATCCCGACAACAATTCACGGCATTTGGACAATACAACAGTTGGAAGCGGTTTTCATTCTCACACTATCATCTTTCAAATTTCCCGACAGAGCAAAAACAAGAGATTTCGATTTCACCGATAAAAATACAGATTCCACCTAAAATGGTGTGAGATCCGTTTCGAGTCATCTTTTAGAGTTCAAAATGAGAATGATCCTCCGTCGAAGTCGTGTCGGATGATCAGGCAGACGAATACATCAAACAAAGGCCCATCATCAAACCATATCAGATATGATTCACGGAAAAAAATGTTCCCGAAGCACACGCGAATGTCAAAAAGGAGATTACTTTCTGGAAAGCCATCCACGGAATAAAAGCCGGCACCATGTGAAACAATTGGCACATGACGCATGTGGATTTAGGAGCGCATCTCGGCAAAATTAAGTAACGACTCCCAGTCAAGTGTGGTGAAATCAAACATGAAAGGTACGCCTTCCCAACAAAAATTCTTCATAACTTTCAGAGCGTTCTCCGCGCTGCTCCGGTCCCGGAACTCTATCAGTACCAATCCGTGTCGTTTATTCAAACGTACGTCAGTAACGAGTCCATACCTAAGATAAGATAAATGTAACATGACCGAAAACATTAAATTTCAAGCACGAACAAGCGGATACGAATCAAGTTTCTCCGTAATGTGATCTAGTGCCAGGGTAAATCAAGCATTCTTCGCGAGAAGTACGACTTTTCTGATTTCCGCTCGATCCAAAAAAGGAAACATTCAGTAGTTTGTTGAATTACGTTTTGTATAAATAATTCAACGAATATGACACTTCCTCGGCAAAAGAAAAATCGCTGCGGAAGACATAGGACAATTACTAGAACCTCTCAGAAGCAATAGACCTGCGAAGGATTCGGGAATATTCCCAACTTAGAAGTCAAATCAGTAAAATAGGGCAGACAAAGTAAAGACAAAGAATACTACGCTCGCCTCAAATACAGGCTTTCAACCCAAGAATTCTGAACTTCTCGAGGCTCCAATTTAAAATAAAGAGGATTTTTCCACGGAACTCCGCACTAAAACTTGAAAAAGAAGTTTAAAAATGGCTTCTCGAGTCAAAATGGCTGAAAAATTCCCAACTGAAGATTCAGAGCTACCACAACGTTGAAACTACATTTCACTTCATGCGGAAACGAGTCAACTCAAAACAAGGTGCGAAGAAATTGACATAACCCTTTTCAGCAATCAAGAAAAACCGGGTTCACAAGATAACTCACGTGCTGAACTCAGCGCGGATCCAAGATTCAGTGATACATTCTGGCAAAAGAAGCCGAGCAAATGCGTGACCAGCCAACATGATAATCCTTGAAGGCGCCACACGTCCATATAAATGCCTGGAACATTATTTTGAGAGTTGAAGACAATTTCAGAAACGTTGAAGATATGCAGAGGAAGTCACCCATCGAGCGCCTCTGCGCTTTTCACTCCAACGCACGTAGCTCCGTCAGTCGATTTGACCAAAAATGGAGATCTCCAAGGCTCACAATGACGAGATTTTACAGTTTCTGTACTGTCATATGCACCATTCTTCAACTGCCTGTGATTGCACAATAAAAATTGTTTTCAGTCGATTTCAACGAATTTCACGGCGCATCACATCCATCCTCAATGTTGCTGATAGAGGATCATAGCCAAGTTCTCATTTCATAGAGGGATATCGATTGAAACAGAACCGAAGCTAATCCAATTAAAGCTGACACGAACGAAAGCTTGAACACAATACAATAAACACAAACAGAACAGAAGTTATTACAAATTTGAGAGAACCGAATCGAATCAACGTCTGATATCCTGAAACGCTCGTATCTGATCCAAAGGGCAGTGTATAATGTGAACGGGGAATAAATTATGAGGGCATACCACTTACGAAGCAAACATTTCCAGCATAGCGGAAATATCCTGACTTCCACTAAGCTGAACGCCATCGACGTGCGGGGATTTCTCCTTCAGTAATTCTAGGTAGCATTCACCGGCAATTTTCATCTTACAGACGAATGATCCACTCTCAACCGCACCATCCGTTTCCTCTCGGAAATAATTGGATTTAAACAAATCCGACATCGAGAACCCAGGAGGAAGATTCATGTATCGTTTCACATCCGGTGGTGACCCACCCAATTTGTCAAAATTTTCGTATTTTTCACTGATACTTTCAGTTACGATTCCGATAGCTGGAACTGAATATCTAACATAACGATCGTTGAATTCGTCAGTCACGGCTTTGCATGGCATCGAGTTGCATCCATTTGGGATCTGCTCAGGTCTAGGATTCACATCGTCACGGTCGTCTAAAACAGTGTGATCTTCACGCCCGAATCCCAACGACGCCACAGGATCGGATTTTCCTCGCAGAATTTGCATCTCGTCGTCATTCCCTTCACCACTTTGAGGTACGACTGATTTCCTTCGACTGTTGGAGAAGATTGTCCTCGTCACCTCTTCAACTGACAAGTTCGGATACGCGGCTTCAATCTGACGGAGTCTGTGCGATGAAAGTCATTCTAAGAGGCGCTGTTCACTCAACGCTAAAATCGATCTTCATTCGGTTTTAAACTTCTTCGGAATCGACATGAAGGAAAAAAAAGGATACAGCGGAAAAGCTGTGAATAAAAATCACTCATTTACACCGACATTGCTCACGGTTCAACATTATTCTCTAGAATCGCGTGAAACCAAAAAAAAAATCGAGCTCGGGTAATTAATCGCCAGGAATCATAAATGTAACAGGCCGAAGAACTCGTAATTTTAAATTATCACTCCACAGAAACGGTTTGCACATCCTAAACAAAATAAGATCGTTTTGACCACTGATCACCCACTCGTCACATGCAAGGGATCGCAGATCGATGTCGGCTTCTAATTCAGGGGGCGTCTTATCATTCTGCTTCTCGAAGGCATCAGTTTCGGTAAAATGAAGTTTCGGAAAATCTTCGTCGTTGCAATCAAACAAACTTGTTGAAATACTTTTCACTGTCCATCGATGAGTATTCGAGATCACGTCCGTCTGATGCAATTCAAAAGGTTCCTCGAATCGAGTTCCATTGATGTTTGAATTCATACTCGTGCCACTTCCAGAAATAATAAAAAAAGAACCATTGTTGGAAAAGTATGACCAAAAACGCCAAAATTAATCGAGGCTAGGATCCTCGTCAATTAACGACGGGCTTTGTCCTAGTAGAAGATAATTCAATAGAAATCCTTCAGTTTGTTTACGAAGTACGACAGAGGTTTATCATTTCCAAGAACTCACGTGGAAGAAGGGCGTTCTTCTTTCGCCTGTTCGACGACATTCAAAGTATCTCTTCCGATTCTCATCCCATGAAAAAGCTGAACAGCCCTATTCGCACTTTCGGGCTCCGCGAAATTGGCAAAACCTACGTCATTTGTGGTCAGGATGCGAGTGCCAATAATGTGACCACATCTAGGATGAAAAAGGAATAAATTGCAGCACCAAAAACGTCTGCGGAGACCAAATATGAACGATGAGTGAGCAACATTCAATCACAACTTACACTGCGAAAGTTGAGGCCCACCAAAGAGCATTGGCAGAAGGCGGGAATGCTTTTGAAGCAAGGCGAATTGTAATGCAAACGCTTGATTTCACCCAGTTATACAGTGTTGTTTCATACTTAATAATGGCCCTTTTCGTAGTATTCGAAAATTTAGACGGCGAAACATGTCGATTCAAGTTTTCTGGCCGCTTCTTTTTTGCCGTTTTTCATCCTTGAACTAAATTCCAGGATTCTTCCACGGATATATTTGATCTGCCGCTGATTGAGGGGCAATGCCCGGGAATACACGAAGTTTGCAACGCGAAGAACACCCGTGGATTGCAAAGGAAATCCTGCTCACTTCCTGAGTTTTGTGGCCCTGTTTCAAATTTTTCCTCCTCCGCAGCACACCAAATGTTGTTTCTGTTAGCAGATAAGGGAAAAACTTGTTCCTTGAAAGCTACTTATTCAGTATTAGCGTTTCTCATAATTTAAACTTGAATACTGTACACGATTCTACGTAAGTTACTTGTTTACATCATGTATTCCAGTTCAAAAACCGAGTCAGAACTCCCAACTAAAATTTGGAAAAAATAGTTGAATATCAAATAAAAGGTAATCTAGGGAATTCATCGATAGGAAACACTCGATTTACTCACGCCCTTCGATCAGTTACAAAAGGTAGGTCATGTTCACGATGATCCGACAAGGCCTGATTTCTATGAAGAAAAAATAAATTTCAAATCACAAATTCGTTCATGATAATGTAACGATCACGAAAAACCATGTACAGTACCCGTTTTCATTCCCAACGGAAGAGCACTTCTCATCAGGTTTAATTCAATTTTGCCACGAAAAGGGCGGGTTTACAGCTTTCCTAGAAGAAATTTTGATAACAGCACTTCTTCCATATCTCACGAAGAAGAATCACCAATTTCCTTCCTGACGATGAAATTTAATTGAAATGAAATCATGCATCCAATCTCCAACTGCGATAGATCGATCGTCCGCGCATTCAGTTTTCAGCTTCCCACTCTTGATCAAAACGTTGAATTCTAAGTTCACCACTAACGACCAATTGGTCCATGCACCGCGCATAGGTATCTCTAAGGATTTCGTTCGAACGATCAACCTGCTGATATTTTATTCGAATATGGGGAAAATTATATCGGAAGAGGTCAAGATTTCGCATGACACGGCCGGCAGCCGTCGATACTTTCCCGAGAGCACCGCTCTTATTTGCAGCACGCGCATACTCGACGAAGCGCAAGATCAACAAGACAGTGATTCGACAACCGAGTTTTTAAGTACATAAAATTATTCGCTGCAAAACGTATGTTCCTCAACATGCAAATATTTGAAAAACTAAGCATACAAAATATATACAGTACAGTACTGTATATCACATATACACACACATATGCGAAGGTCCTTGCTTCAACACACGTGTCTTAAAAATTTCATACTGTATAAGAAATTCATAATTAGGGGTTAAAGATGTCCCCCCAATGCGAATTATGAACACAAGGCTATAATAATGAATTAGCTCAAAAAAATCAACGAAACGCTTCAAAAATCAACGAAACGCTCTCTTGAGTTACGGACTGAAAAACTTGAATCTTTATAAGGTGAAATATTTTTTAATTAACATAATTTAGAAACCTATCTTTGTCGAAAATTTAATTTCGATCCTCAAAAATGATGATCCTATAGATGATGAAATGAAAGACCGATGAACCGCGTACCTGACTAAGGATTTCTTTCAAATCGAAGAGCGCATAGCAACGTATGAAGGTATACTGTAGCGCTTTTCAAAAAGTAATCGAACGTCAAAAAATCCTTTTCTTTGTTTTAGAACACAGAAAAATTTGCACGCAGAAGATTTCCATAAAGAAATGCGTAGTTTTTGGAAAACGAAGATCTCAGCCAACCATGAAGCAGCACACCGGAAATATTGGTCAGGACAGAACGACTGCCCAAAATATAAGCGGATTTCTCAGACTCAAAATGATCTAGATCAACGCTACAAACAGAATGTGACAACTCGAAATCACCGAATCAATACTGTATATAGGTTCAAATTTTCTGGAGAAGTTCCCGCCCGAAGCTCTGCATATCGCATCATCCTGTGAGGGGAAATAAGAAAATTCGGAAGTTCGCGTCCAACATGAATTCTGGTCGAATTCAGACTTGTGTGGATGTGATCTGTGATCCTTCAACACATGCCGTTACACCAAACCGAAAGAAGCAGATCACACTCACGAACAAGCACTTGGAAGAAAGTAAGATTTTCGGCATGAAAAATGACAGGTATTAATAACTAAACTTAAACGAATAGCGAATTGCAAAATTAAGACGACATTAATGTCCTTATCAACTGGCTAAAATCAATCCTTCGTTTGAAGCATCAGTTCTATTGGAATATTCTTGGAAAATGAAAGCAAGCTTTAAAACCCATAGGTTTCTGGGCATTTTCCCTTTTCGTTCAGTTGAAAACAAGTTCAAGAAATTATATCTTACTCCACTTCAATTGAAAACGTGCAGATGTTTCGTGCGAAGAACCTTTGCACATTATCTTGAATTCATGCAGAAAAAGTTCTTCGCGATTTCAAACGGCAACGGAAAAATCAGCAGCCGTACTATTAATCGCTCTCTCCTTAAACAGCTTTGAAAAAACTGCAAAGGAGTTCGATCAATGAATTGATTTTCACGAAAGAGACAGTAGTTTGGTGCAACAAAGCAATACACTACCAAAAATTACATGAATGAAATAAAAACAGCGAAGTCAAGTGTACACTAAAATTTTAAAAATGAACGCTTAGCATTTTATACCGAACAGAACTTAAAAATCATTCTTTCTTCGAACGAGGACCATCACAACTCAATAAAAAACAGCTGGCAAGAGAACAATTGAAGTTCTGGAATTCTATCCTCCAAACGGAACGGCGCTCGCACCTCAGTAAAAAACAAATTACCGACGAAAACGAACAAATTTTCAGAATTTCATCCGCATCGAGCAAGGTTTCTCCCAGCAGGTGGAGCTGGGCATTACAATGCAATTTCATTGACAAAAATCTACCAAGAGAATATATATCACGCTGATTTTTTTCACAGTAATTTTCAAATTAGCATAAATTTGCTTAAAATGGGTGGATCAGGGTATGGTCGAACCATTGACGATTTAGTCATACTCTGGTGCAGCTCAAAGCAAGTTCCGCCTAAGGCGAATCAAATTGATAGTAATCCAATCTGGAATTCAGAAAAGTTGCCAACTCAAAGCGCGACTGAGGAAAAGCATGCAAATTTTTTTTGAAGGATAATGTTTGCAAAAGAAAATAATGAAGCCGTAATACACCAAAAGTAAACAATTTACTTCGGAAAGGTGAGAGTGGGCTTTTCCGTTACTTTTTCGACGATGACAACTTCAATTACTTGCGAGATGTCACCGTTCAGAAATGGTGCCACTGATGCTTCCTCCACACTGCACATCGGGTACAGAAATTCACTAGAAACGGAATTTTTTCAAGGTCGACGAATTGTTTTAGGATCACCAAATCCTCAAGAGGACGATGCACCACCGCGCATGCTTCCAGAATTAGGTTTGAAGTTTAGATCCGGCTTTCTCAACAGCCACCGACGGAATCCCACCCGGAATGCTACGAAAAGGTGTTTCCCCACGAAGTCAATGCGCGTTTCAAAAGGAAAACCTAAGGTGATAATGATTCACGGATTCCAGGCGTACTCCATCAACACAAATTCAACACCAAGTTCGCTCGGACAGCACAGCTACAGAAGTTATTCCTCGCCTCATCTTTATGGGGAGCTTCAATGTGTCAAATTCATCGGTCACCGCTTCTTCTTCTGCATAAAATCATGGTGGTGTAGTTTCTCGCCGGAGAAGGAAGCCACGCCAGCCGTGATCCGCGCCACTGCACCCCCCATCCCCTCACTCCCTATCCTCATCACTCTCTCTTTTACGCACACTAGTGACAGACTTGAAGGTTTGAGTTTACAGTGCTGTGAGTGGTGTCACAGGACTACTGCAACACCAGGTCTAGTAATGTTTCTCATGTTCTACTTTTTTTCTGTAAACTCTCTTTCAATAAAAACTAAAAATTCTGCCTCTGCAAAAATCATGTTTTAAAGTGCAGACATTTTAGAAATGTGGTTTAAAAATGATATTGAGGTTGCTCAGGTTTTAGTACAGAGCAGATTATGTACTGATGGTCAGGTTTTCTGCAAACTGCAAGGTTGAGACATTCCTACAAGTAAAAAGCCAGAAAAATTTCAGAGTTGTTTCCTGCAATGCTGACTATAGCCTGCAGTGACATTGTAATCTGCTAAGGGGTGCTAAATTGTGATTGTGATCAATCTTCAGACATTAAAAAAAACAAGGAAGTGAACCAAGCTTAAAATCTGAACCGCGGGAGTTTATAAATGAGCAGCTTTCAGACACAGGTGTCATCAATTGATCAAAGGTTTTGCTTCACCCCGCGTGAAATCCTGGGTTTGGAATTATTTTCTCCCCGCACCTTTGGCTCTGGTGATAGTCTGGTCTGAAGTTTCAACTCTCAAGTCAATTGGTTATCAGTGGAATCCATGAGAACTTCTCTCTATTTCTTCTTCCACTCCCAAGCAATAAATTCACAGAAAATTATAGCAGCCAGGAAACTGCATGATGCTGAAATTGAATTCCTGCTAATGCCTGCGTTAGATTTTGCAGTGATTTGCCTTTTTTTATTCTATACGCAGCAATTTTGGTCGGAAAAGACTTCTCAAAGATTTTTCCTTTCATTCATCTTCCGGTTTTATCCACACAAAAACTGTGCATGTTCAATGTTCATGAAGATCTAGGAGAGCTCCGAATCCACTAAAAAACGCACACAAAAATGCTTTTTATGTAAGGTAAAAGCAACAAATATCAAATTAAACCAAAATAACCTGTCTTTAAAAAATTTAATTTGCTGTACAGTACACATGATGATTACTCCCTATGAGTCGAAAAAAATTTGTGAATCGTAAGGGTAAGGTACAAAGTTTTATATCTTTTCGGTCGTACAGTCTTACGGTCTGTATAAGGCGGCCGTCAATAATACAGAGGAGTATAAAAGAAAAATGCTGAAAAGTCAGCAGATGAGAGCAAACCTGGATTTGAGAACATTTGACCAAAATAAAAACATAAGGAATAATGGAAGAATTAGCAGTTTTCGGAAAGTATGCTGTGAATCAGCCAAAACGATTTCATGAGGAATTGTTCTTCAATTTTTTGGTTCGAAAAATTTCTTTTGATCTAAATTGAAATTTTCTTTTCACTTTCTGGCATGCCAATGTAGTTTTCAGGCAAGTACAAAGGCTGAAAAATATAGTATTGGGCTATATTCCGGTTGAGCTAAAAATTGATTAAATATTTGTGATCCAGATGGAGAAATATTTTTCAACTTTTTTTACTCTCAACATAAAGAGCCAAGGAATTTATTATGCCTTTGATGGTGCAAATAAGGTATGTGTACCTATTATGAGTTAATGTACATAAATGCCATATCCATGAGATGAGAGAGTAAGTGATCAGTGGGATTTTAACCAGTCCACCATTAGTTGCCACTTCAAGCACTATATCAGTACAGTACACTACAGTATAACTATTGCTGCCCCTACTATAAACCCCATGGGAGTTATAGTTGGGCAGGGAGGAGGAGTCTGAAACATATGACTGTGAGTCCCATCCTTTACAGGATGTTTGTGTAAATATTGGCAGCAGTAGCTATAATATTTGTAGATGTCTCAGAAAATGTGATGCGTATTTTTATTGAACCATTCTATAGAAAATTGAATGAAGTGATTGAATGATATTATTTATTTTACTGCAGTAATGTGACAATTCCATTGGGATTTTTAATGCACTGAATGGCTTTCATTGTGGGGGAATTGACTATATTATCATTGAAAAAAATATTTTGCTGCATGAGATAGGAGGAATCCATTTTACCACATTATGGATTATTGGCAGATATTTAAATTTCCGTTCTGCCTTGCAGGTTGGAAGTTCGTTTTTGAAAATTTTCTTACAAAAATTGGTGGTAATGAAGATTAAGCAGCGGCGACTACCAAACTGACTACCAAAGACTACCAGTCCTGAAAAAAAGTTTGGGGCTTTTGTTACAGCTGTGCGTGGGCATGGCGGGGATTTCGTGTCAGGGCTATTGTTGCGCAGGGACCCCTTACAAACCCGGTGCAGCCGCACCCCACCTGCCCCCCTCACCAGAAAAATCTCGAAGGATGGGGAGGGAAGGTCAGGGGGTGCAGAAAGTTGCCGTCAAAGACGCCCTGTGAAAGATGGACCCTTTTTGGGGGGGTAGTAGGAAGATCGAACCTAGGCGCATTCCATCCCAAACCGGGTAATCCCTTTAATCCCCTTTGTCCTTGGGTTGACGCACCACCCAAACTGATCAGCTTCTTTTGTCTAAAGAACCTTGTCCACCTCCGAAAGGTACTTTAAAACGCGTTATGTTTTAAAACTTTGAGAAATTAAAAATTTTTAACAAATGGGAGAGTTTTTTGGTTTCTTTTACTATGATTTATTGTATACATTTGAAAATGTTATAGGAAGCAGAAAAAAAACTCCCTGACCACCCAGGGTATGTTCTTTGTGATTTCTTGAAGCAGGCAACAGCTTTCCTTGAATTTTGGCACCATATGAATTTTTGAAACTCTTTGAATTTTTAAAAATTGTTTTCCCTCTCAAGCAAACAAAAAATGATACCAAATAACCAAGTTTTTAAAAAATTAATGTGAGGCACAAAAGAAATATGAACACATTGCTGCTGTAGGGAGGGCTGCAACAAGAAAATAGATAGGGCAGTGGAATGTAATTTTCAGATGCACTAAATTAGTGTTTACAAATTTTTGTTGCAGATGAATAAATGTTAGATGTTGAGTGAAAAGTGACTTGAACACTGCAGAAAAATGTTGGCTCCAGCTTTAAGGTTATTAAGTTGAAGTTGAATTTTTTCCCAAAAGTTCCGTCAAAGATTTATTTAGGTTGTTTCATTTTATTATACCACCTTAGGTTAGTTATTAGACCTGAAGTCGTAAGGGTTACTTTCGGAAACTTTAAAACCAAGGTTTTGATTTAAATATAAATGTTCAATACTATGAGATTTGCCTACACAAAAAGTAGTGCTTACTTCACCTATCAAAAGAAGGTTTTTCAGACAACAAATTCACATTCCAGAGTTTTTTCATGATTTGCCTACACAAAAACTACTGCTTACTTCACTTATCAAAAGAAGCTTTTTCAGGCAACAAATTCACATTCCAGAATTTTTCATGACCTTGGGATTTTCTCATGCATTCAAATTTAGGAATTACTAAATTACTGTGTATATATATGGTACTATATACACAGCCCTATGCATCACATTATTCACAGTAAATTTCAATCAGCCTTTTATCCCCACAAGCCACCATCACAAACTCTGGCTGCCAAGTTTACAAAGTCTCCATCATGGGCATGATCATTGGGGTTCCTCATGGCCAGAAATTGGCAGTGCTGATGGAGGAACTGTAGGAGGCTTGATGTGAAGTGTGCTTATTTTTTTGTCTATATAGCAGCATGCTCTGGTTATATACCCCAATAATGAACAAAAAAATTGTGGAGCAGTCGGGTTTTTGTCCCAACTGAAGGCTGGCGAGTTGAGTATTGTACTTTTTTTCCCGTGACGGAATGACCTTGCAATAAAATTATAATTGGTGATGTTCACTGTTGTACGGAGTATGCAATTTATCATGCGGAATAACCCTCGATTTTGTTGAAAAGTGAATCTCTTCGGAGGGCATGTTATGCTAGATGATGTTGATGCGTGCTACCCTATATACAGTATTTAAAAGTATGTTCCAGTGAAGAGAAAGAATTTTGTTCCTGCATCAAAAATTGGCTTCCTGTGTCGTGTGGCGCCAAGATCTCGGGTTTGGTAGAATCCAGCTTTTTTGAAATTTTACCAAGGGTACGTAAGGTATTTTTCGGCGGGATTTTAAAATCAAATACATTTGTTTATTTTGAAGGTTTTGCGCTGAAAAGGAATGTTATATACTACGTAAGACATTAAGAACATCCAGCTGTCTGAATGTGACTGAAGCTGTCATCCCCACTGCATTTGTTTGATGGGATGAAGCTGGTGGGTTGTCCAGTACATGGTGCTATATGGGTGATCCTGTAAAATTGTAAGTACTGGTACGGTATTGTATTGTGACATATTGGCGGACTGAAAATCATGCGACATCTGTAGAATCCCAACGGAACTTGACCGTAGTCCAGATTATGAGATTGGAAGTGGTGCGGTGCAATTTAATTTCATCGCTGATGGGCGCTAAAGTGCTGACTACTCTGAGGAGGGTGGTGTAGTTTCTCGCCGGAGAAGGAAGCCACGCCAGCCGTGATCCACGCCACTGCACCCCCCATCCCCTCACTCCCTATCCTCATCACTCTCTCTTTTATGCACACTAGTGATAGACTTGAAGGTTTGAGTTTACAGTGCTGTGAGTGGTGTCACAGGACTAGTGCAACACCAGGTCTAGTAATGTTTCTCAGGACACAGAATGCTCTACTTTTTTTCTGTAAACTCTCTTTCAATAAAAACTAAAAATTCTGCCTCTGCAAAAATCATGCTTTAAAGTGCAGACATTTTAGAAATGTGGTTTAAAAATGATATTGAGGTTGCTCAGGTTGACCAATGTTAACTAACGTTTTAGTACAGAGCAGATTATGTACTGATGGTCAGGTTTTCTGCAAACTGTTTTAAAGTGCAGACATTTTAGAAATGTGGTTTAAAAATGATATTGAGGTTGCTCAGGTTGACCAATGTTAACTAACGTTTTAGTACAGAGCAGATTATGTACAGATGGTCAGGTTTTCTGCAAACTGCAAGGTTGAGACATTCCTACAAGTAAAAAGCCAGAAAATTTTCAGAGTTGTTTCCTGCAATGCTGACTATAGCCTGCAGTGACATTGTAATCTGCTAAGGGGTGCTAAATTGTGATTGTGATCAATCTTCAGACATTAAAAAAAACGAGGAAGTGAACCAAGCTTAAAATCTGAACCGCGGGAGTTTATAAATGAGCAGCTTTCAGACACAGGTGTCATCAATTGATCAAAGGTTTTGCTTCACCCCGCGTGAAATCGTGGGTTTGGAATTATTTTCTCCCCGCACCTTTGGCTCTGGTCTGAAGTTTCAACTCTCAAGTCAATTAGTTATCAGTGGAATCCATGAGAACTTCTCTCTATTTCTTCTTCCACTCCCAAGCAATAAATTCACAGAAAATTAGCAGCCAGGAAACTGATGCTGAAATTGAATTCCTGCTAATGCCTGCGTTAGATTTTGCAGTGATTCGCCTTTTTTATTCTATACACAGCAATTTTGGTCGGAAAAGACTTCTCAAAGATTTTTCCTTTCATTCATCTTCCGGTTTTATCCACACAAAAACTGTGCAGTTCAACAAGATGTTCATGAAGATCTAGGAGAGCTCCGAATCCACTAAAAAACGCACACACAAATGTTTTTTATGTAAGGTAAAAGCAACAAATATCAAATTAAACCAAAATAACCTGTCTTTGAAAAATTTAGTTTGCTGTACAATACTGTACTACTAATGAGGGATACTCAGCTTTTTTTAAACACTTAGCATTCCCATTCCATGTTTCAAAATATAGAAAAGCCAGCATGTCAGAATGCCAGACATATTCCGCCGGCAGTTATTATGTCTGGACTATAAAAGAAAAATGCTGAAAAGTCAGCAACTGTATTCCAATCCAAGTGCTGTAAAAGACAAAAGATTCTACCCAACTCCCAATTCCAGCAGGTGCAGCCGCACCCCACCTGCCCCCCTCACCAGAAAAATCTCAAAGGACGGGGAGGGAAGGTCAGCGGGTGCAGAAAGTTGCCGTCAAAGACGCCCTGTGAAAGATGGACCCTTTTTTGGGGGGTAGTAGGAAGATCAAACCTAGGCGCATTCCATCCCAAACCGGGTAAGCCCTTTAATCCCCTGTTGCCGTCAAAGACGCCCTGTGAAAGATGGACCCTTTTTTGGGGGGTAGTAGGAAGATCGAACCTAGGCGCATTCCATCCCAAACCGGGTAAGCCCTTTAATCCCCTTTGTCCTTGGGTTGACGCAACATGACCCAAACTGATCAGCTTCTTTTGTGATTTCTTGGAACAGGTGGAGGCTTTCCATGAAATTTTGCGCAATACAAAATTTTGAAACTCTTTAATTTTTAAAAATTGTTTACCCTCTCAAAAAACCGAAGAAAATGATACTAAATAACATATGTTTTGAAAATTTTATAGGAAGCAGAAAAAAACTCCCTGACCACCCAGGGTATGTTCTTTGTGATTTCTTGAAGCAGGCAACATCTTTCCTTGAATTTTGGCACCATATGAATTTTTGAAACTCTTTGAATTTTTTAAAATTGTTCTCCCTCTCAAGCAAACAAAAAATGATACCAAATAACCAAGGTTTTAAAAAATTAATGTGAGGCACAAAAGAAATATGAACACATTGCTGCTGTAGGGAGGGCTTCAACAAGAAATAGGGCAGTGGAATGTCATTTTCAGATGCTGCTAAATTAGTGTTTACAAATTTTTGTTGCAGATGAATAAATGTTAGATGTTGAGTGAAAAGTGACTTGAACACTGCAGAAAAATGTTGGCTCCAGCTTTAGGGTTATTAAGTTGAAGTGGAATTTTTTCCCATTTTCAAGGCAGTTTCTAAATAAATCCAACAAAGTAAAATAATATGGTGGAATCCAATCAATAATCTGGACTTCAGCATTCCCAATGAAAGCCTTTGAAATTTTGGTTCCAAAACTAAATTTATATTTTGTTCAATACTATGAGATTTGCCTACACAAAAAGTAGTGCTTACTTCACCTATCAAAAGAAGCTTTTTCAGACAACAAATTCACATTCCAGAATTTTTAATGACCTTGGGATTTTCTCATGCATTCAAATTTAGGAATTACTAAATTACTGTGTATATATATGGTACTATATACACAGCCCTATGCATCACATTATTCACAGTAAATTTCAATCAGCCTTTTATCCCCACAAGCCACCATCACAAACTCTGGCTGCCAAGTTTACAAAGTCTTCATCATGGGCATGATCATTGGGGTTCCTCATGGCCGGAAATTGGCAGTGCTGATGGAGGAACTGTAGGAGGCTTGATGTGAAGGTGGACCCCTTTCTGCATGGTGTATGTGGCACTATAGGGAGAACATACCATGACCACCACACTTCCTGCTTCCACACCCCATTTTTTGCTGGGATTTGTAAAGCTTTTGGAAATGCTTCATTAAATTCTTGCCTGCACATTCTTCATCAATAAATACACTATAAATGAACATAGGTTTTGTGCTTTGACATAAATGGACTGAAAACTAGTTTTTGTGATGGAATATTGCATGAGTCAAAATGTATTCTTTTCAACTCTCCTATTATTGTCTTTTTGTTCAAACAATAATCTTGTTAAGAACTTCTATGGAAAGTTATTATTTCCGTTACGGTATATTAACTAGAACAGAGGAGTTATGATGTAAAAATTTTGGATATCGACAATAACGCCGTGTGAGAACAGGAAGAGATGGGTAATTTAGACTAAAAAGTCGTCTCCAAAGCTATAATGTTTTGCTCAAAGTTCGAACCACATTTCCTAGAATATGTTTCACATTTGAAAAACCTATGGAACAACCCATCTTATCATTTCATAGATATATGGACAAATCATTTTCTTAGGACTGTAGTTAGTATACCTGCTACACCCATTCCTGAATAAGCAAGGTATTTCCGATTCTTGAAGTCACTCATGCTTGATCTTGTCTCCTCAATACTACATTTTTAAAACCTATAGCTGTTATTGCGGCACACTCTTGTCCTTCTCTACCCATTAAATATGATTTTTCAGCACTCCAAAGCTATAATGTTTTGCTCAAAGTTCAAACCACATATCCTAGAATATGTTTCACATTTGAAAAACCTATGGAACAACCCATCTTATCATTTCATAAATATATGGACAAATCATTTTCTTAGGACTGTAGTTAGTATACCTGCTACACCCATTCCTGAATAAGCAATGTATTTCCGATTCTTGAAGTCACTCATACACAACCGCAGGAGAGAGAGTGTTGGGTGCCGGGCGTGAGGGGATGGGGGGCACAGGGGAGAGGAGTTCTGACGGCGTGCGATCCGGCTCCGGCGAGAATGTGCCTCACCCTGAGGAGCTGTGGGTGCAGAGCTGTTGCTCACTGATTTGGTGTGATTGAGTTCATGCTTTCGTTAATATTGCAGTGAACGCTCGTGTCAGAGGATTTGATTGCATACAGTATATTACAGCATCTTCTGTGAGAGGCGGTGGTTTTCGACGGTGATTGTCGCATAATCCTCTTTTTCGCCCATTTATGGCAGATTGCGTTTATTCCCCGTTATCATAGGATTACCTTAATTTCGGGATCTCATACACAACCGCAGGAGAGAGAGTGTTGGGTGCCGGGCGTGAGGGGATGGGGGGCACAGGGGAGAGGAGTTCTGACGGCGTGCGATCCGGCTCCGGCGAGAATGTGCCTCACCGATTCTTCATGTGGTGCTTACTTCCGCACAAAGTATTGAATTCCACGGAAATATATTTTTACAGGAAGCCTTGTACAGACCATGATGGCACACAACATGTGCAAAGTTTATTTTGAAGAGTTGAAGCATGGTAAAAAAATAATTCTATAATGAATGCAACTAGAAGATACAGCAAGAGAAATATTTTACCGTGCTTCAACTGTATATCCGTAACCGAGCCTATCATGAATGCAACTGGGAAATATAAGAACAATATTTTACCATTGCTCCACCGATTCAAATCGACCCGCCAGGCGGCACAGCATGAACTGGAATGCATCCTGCCCAGGCAAAGTATACCCCTGGAGTATGAATTGGGTAGAGCATGCCGTGATATTTACATCGGGCTGGAACGCATCGGCTGTTTTTAATGGTGCGGGGGAATACAGTACTTTGATACTGTCCTTGAGCTCAGTTCGCGATGAGGCAACTTTTTCAACTTGACTTGCGTTATCCGCCTACCGTATTTTTTCGAATTTTCAGGATGAATCTCTGAGAGTGCTCATCAGAATGTGAAGAAATGGCTGGTGTGATGACCGATCGTCCGGGTTGGGAAGATCAGTGTGACAGACACGCGGAAACTTTCGCTTGCGAGTTTGCCTCATGGTTTCACAGTTACCTGAACGATCATCGGATTGCATCACCCTTGTCGCATCGCGACGTTACAGATAGGTTCATCACGAAGTTCGTCACTTTGTTTGAGCAACAGGTGAAATGTGAAACGTCCGAAGCCCCGGAGACACCTGACGACTACTCGGACCCTGAGGATGCTAAACCAAAATGGAAGTTTTCTCTGAAGAATTTTCAGGGAAAGAAGCTTTTCTGCAAACATGACAAAGTTTACATCAACAATCGTGCGAAAGGTGCGAAGACACAATTGGCGAAAATTGTTGTTGAGTGTTTGAAGGAAGGGACAGTTAACTACCAGACGGGGGATAATTTGGAATGTCCTGGAAAATGGCAGAAGTGTAGATTGGCTTTAGTAAGGACTGCTGGTGGGCAAATGTTGGAGTTCTATTCACCTCCGAAGTCTCTGCGACCGCGAAATGGGCTATTTTGTTTTCTGATCGTTGAGGCAAGAGAAACTACTGCGATGGAATTACCAGACAAAGAAAATGCATTTGTGCTGAAAGCTGATGGAGGAGTGGAATTCATCATTGAGACGAAAGATACGGCTGACATGCAGTCTTGGCTAGCAGCCATTAAAGCCACGATGGGGGAGTCGCAAAGGAATCCGTGGGGAGTTGAAGTGGAGCCTCATTTGCAGGAGTACGTTCTTTGATGATGATGATTCTAATAAAATAGAAGTATACTGGGGTTTTTTTCAGTATTAGCTTGTCAGAGCCCAGCCGAAGGGAGGACAGAACGACGGAGTCTTCAATTGTGTCGGATGGAAACCATAGTTTGACTAGGGCTATTCCTCAGCCGGCTGCCCGACAAGATGTGTATGCCATGCTGAGAGATTATCCATGGTTCCATGGAACTTTGTCGAGATCTGATGCCGCCCAGCTGGTGTCCCAAGATGGGCCCTCTGGTCATGGTGTTTTCCTGGTAAGGCAGTCAGAAACCCGTCGTGGGGAGTACGTCCTAACCTTCAACTTCCAAGGAAGATCTAAGGTTTGGGCTCAAATTTTACCTGACTTCCTTGTATGCCGTCAATTTCTCGTCTTCCCGCAGCATTTGAGGATGACCATAAACCCGGAAGGTCATTGCAGGGTGCAGCATTTGTGGTTTTCTACGATATTCGATCTACTAGAGCATCTCAGACTTCATCCTATTCCGTTGGAAAGTGGTGGGTCTTCAGATGTCACACTTTCTGAGTATATTGTGTCCTTGTCTTCGCAAAGGACTCCCCCGCCAAGACATTCGAATACGCAGTTACCTATGCCAGAGTTGAGGGTATGTGCTTCTTAGTATTACAGCGTAGAAGACTTCTCTGAATTTTGACTTTTTCACAGGTAATAACCCATGGCGGTTCGGTGCGTACCAGAACATCCTCTCTGGAGAGAAGATATCAAGAAGAATTAGGAAGGGGAAGGGCAGTGGAAAATGCATATAGCTTCACTTAAACATTGTTGTTCAGAACCTGTAGATGTGATCTCGGTACCTGCTTCAGTGATCGTAAGATCTGTTTTTTTTGTTTTTGTTTTGAGCATGTAGATCAGATTATGAAATTGTTGGGGAAAAACCGAAATCAGGGCTTGTTGGGAAACTTGTTTGAGATGTTACCCTTTCCTCGCATTCCTTGTGTAGGTTGAACCAGTGTAATTTGTGTCTGGAAACGTTGGCTGGTATTTTTTACGAGCTTGTCTTTTCATTCCTTGCATTAGAAGTAACTTTTTCTTCCAGATTTTCATCGAATTTCCCCTTTTTTGTATTTCTCTTCTTTCAAGTTCATCAATGATTATATTTGACGAAGTGGAGGTCATACCATTCATCGATTTTTTCTAACACATGGATGTCGGATAATGTGATACTGTTGTGCTTTAATTTGTTTTACACTGCTCGAAACCTCCGTGTCTCTGAATTGAAGATACTTCAGGGAGATCGAACTGCGATCCATCAGTGAACTCCCATGACCGCTATTGTGTAAGAAGACCTTTTTGCTGGCGCCGTTTGTTGATGAAGATGTTGCATTTTTCTTCCTCTTGTGGGAACGGGCAATTCAACAACGAGAATGCCGTCCTCGCTTGAAGCATGAGACGAGAAGCTGAACCGACGCAGCGAAGGACTTATATTTTGCGCCAATTTACACGGATTTTTCACTCGTGAAATTATTTTTTTTGATAATTTTATAGCTGCAGAATTTTTATAATAGCGTAATTTTTAAAACGCCAAGTAATGTTGCTACTCTTTCAAAGATTTAAAATCTGACCTCTCCTAAAAATAAAAGGAGAAAAGGCGCGAGAGATTTCGGGTGTGGAAAGTGACGGAAATTTCGGAGCTATCAATCTTCCTGTTGATTCCAGACGTTGTGTCTTTTGCCCCCCCCCCCCCTTGTTCCTGTCTTGATTTTTTATGAAGGGTGAATTACTCGTGATAAAAGCAGCGGGGTGATTCCATTTTTTCGCAAATTTACCAGGATTTTTCTATGAAAACTTTCAGTGCTCGTTTTCTGATGCCCTGTACGGATATACAGTAAGGACACAGCAATTTTGAGGAGTATCCCCTATGATTGGAAAACTTTCCGATAAAATTTTGGAGCAAAAATAGCTGCATTCTTGTGTTTATTTCAATCTGTCAATTGATTGGTGGCAGACATCTGTCAATGTAGAAATTGATCTGATGCTTGAATCGTTCGAGAGGAGGGGCATTATTTTTAAAGCCTGGGTGTGATCGCTGTCCACAGATGATTTGGGCGACGACGGTCTCTTGTTTTAAAAGAAACGGACTTTTTATATCACTTATCACGATTTTGTGATCACCATCGCATGTAGTCACTGCTGTTAAAACTTTTCCTCCTCGTCGATGTCCGTATTTACCGGCGTTTTTTGATGAAGTATTTCGAATAATTCGAAATTCTCTAGTAGCCCCACAAGTGGACTATCATCATAAAAACTTCTCGGTACAATTTCAATTGAAATTCTGCTGAAACTTGTTGGCTTCATGACCGGTAGAACACGAAAACAAAATGGTATAACTTGTGCAAGCTGGCTATGGCTCTGTAACTCTATTGTAACAGTTAGGCTGCCTACGATACTGTATTGCTTGAAAAGGCGTGTACAGTCAACCCCTGGTTAACGTTTTTAGTTGGTTCCAAGCAAAAAAACGTTAACTGAAAAAAACGTTAACCAGGGGTGTATTTCCCTTAAGAAATAAGGGAAAAACGTTTATTTGGTTCCACAAAAAATTTTCTCAAGGTAAAAATCAGAAAAAAATTAATCAAAGAGTGTATTTCAACAGCTGAGCTTTATGCACTGCCATTACATTCTTAAAGTAACCACAGTTATTCACTCAATGAAAATCAGAGATTCATTTTCATGACACAAAAAGTCACTCATCAGAGTCACTTGAGTCATTTGCCCTCTTGCAGGGCTGAGATTTGTGACCTGATGGCCCAGGTTGGTCCATTG